AAACCGAGAATGAATCGACGATAAAAGTTCGCAAATCCCATGAATCGTTGAATGTCCTTGACACAGGTAGGAGTGGGCCATTCCTGAACTCCTTTAACCTTGACCGGATCCATAGAGACACGTCCATCTTTGACGATCAAACCGAGAAACTCCACTTCCTTCTTCTCAAAAGAACATTTTTCCGGTTTGAGATAGAGATCATTGTCCTGCAACCTTTGTAATACCTCACGCACCACCTTCCGATGTTTCTCTACATTACCATTGGTGAAGACCAAGATGTCGTCGATGTAGACTACAACGACCTTGCCTTCCTTTAGATCTTGGAAGATTTGGTCCATCATAGTTTGGAAGGTAGCTGGGGAGTTCGTCATGCCGAAGTACATTACAACTGGTTCGTGATGTCCGAAGGGAGTTTTGAAGGCGGCCTTCCACTGATCTCCTTCTCTCATTCTGATATTATTATAGCCCCATCGAACGTCCATTTTCGAAAAAAGCTTCATGCCGGAGAGGCGATCGATAAGGTCCTGAGAGCGAGGGAGAGGGTATGCATTTCGGATGGTTTTTTCATTCAACCTCCAATAGTCCATGACAGGTCTGAGCTTTCCGTCCTTCTTAGCAACAAAGAAGAAAGGAGCTGCTACTGGAGATTCGCTATCTCTCAGTCATCCCAAATCATATTCCTGCTTCAACCACTTCTCACATGCGTCATTTTCAGCGGGGGATAAGGGATATGCCTTTGCATTGGGAGGAAGGTCATTAGGGTCCTTGAGGTCTACCTTGTGATCCCACTTCTTAGACTCGGGGAATCGAGTAGACTCTTCTTCGGAGAAGACCTTAAGATAATCATGGAGCCAGTCCGGCACCATTTCTTCTACGGGCTTCTTTTCCTTCTTCTTCTCCTCCTGCTGCGCTAACTCTGATGCTACAGAGCTTTTGTACCTGATCCACACGTTCCGTGACGAATCCTCATCCTCAACCTCCTCGATCTGCACCTTCTGACCAACAGTAGTAGCAAGGTCCGATTGTTCTTCATCCTCAAGCCCAGCAGGTATAGTACCCATATGTCCGTACATTTTAGAGCTGAGGCTGTTCGACTGAACCCGATGATGGATAGAGGCTTCCTCAATATCCTCATCTTCGTCATCTTCTGTCGGTATCAAATTGGGCAACACCAAAGGGATTGAAGAGTTCATGGCTTTTCTCTTCTTCGCCTTAGTCTTTTTGTCCTTGACCTTGGCTTCTTGACATTTAACCGGGCAACGGTCTAATGCCACCTTCCCTGCATTCCAATCGATACTGGGGTTGTGGAATCGTGGCCAATCTATCCCAATGATGACATCATCAGATCCTAGGTCTGTGACCAGAAAGGCTACTTCTTCCTCATGATCCCCTATGGTAAGCTTCAAGTCTGCGTAATGCGTAATTGGTCCGGCGGAATTATCTGCTTCGTCAATGTTATGGATCGACATTGGTCGTAACAACTGCTTAATCTGAACTTGATTTTTTTCTATGAATTTTTTGCTGAGGAAAAGGTTCGTTGCTCCACAATCCACTAGAGCCTTGACAGCTGCTTTCTTATGTTTCCCTTCCAACGTAACTGGCAAGTAGAAATGGTCTCGTTTATTCCCAGAACAAACTTCTGATACTTCTGCAAACATAATTGCCGAGTCACCGAGAATGGAAAAACAATTTCTCTGATCTAAGTCTGCAGTCAACTTCGATCTCCCTAAAAACCCTTTTGTTCCTCTTTCTTTGCTGGGTTATACATGGTAGAGAGACAGATGCGCTCGTTCACAATGCGGTTAATATCTTCCAGGGTGAGTGCTTTCACCGCTGGAACTTCTTCCACCTTGCCGGCATGGACAGCTGGTCCTTTGCCCTTTGGGTCAAGCGGCTTTCCTGTGCAGTTACAGGCCATATGCCCTTCTTCTCTGCAGCGATAGCAAATGAATTTTGCTCCCTGTTGTCCTTGAGGCCGGGGTCTGCCTCCTGCTCTGGTTGCATCTACGTCCATAGTGTTTCCTCCCTGCAACGTGGTCTTGGGTGCTCCAGCTGGTGCGGGTGGAACAGTGGAGCCTCGCCAAGGTTGTCGTTGAGCGAAGCTCATCTTCCTTTCGTTGTCAAGCTCTTCGAGGTTCTGTCCGACTAGGAGCGCCTCCCTGATTAATCCCTCCAGGGTATCTTTCCTGTTGGGATGGATGTTGGCCAGGTAGTTTTTGACTCGCTGGTCCAATCCATGGTGGAGTTTGCGCATTAGCTCGTAGTCGGAGAAATGACAGAAGGCAAGCTTCTGACGGAAGAGGGAGATATATTCTCCGATGGTACGATTGCCTTGTCGGAGAGTTTCCAACTCTCTTGCTGCCTTCTCCTCCTTGTTGACGACGGTCCACATGACCTTCATGTCTTTGACGATGCTGTCGTAGGACCCAGGGTGGCCGCTGAGCGCCATGGGTGTGATACTCTCTGCCCACTTGGCTGCTGCTCCGCGACAAAAGGAAACAAGACAGGTGCATTTCTGCTGCTCTGTTGCTCCTGGGTAACCTGTGAAATAGATGGCAAGCTGGGTGAGGAAGGTGTCGATGTCAATGGAGTTCTTATCCCCTGTGAAGTCCATTGGTTTCGCCATCTTGATATCAGAGCCTGAAGTCCCAGATATAGCACCTGGAATCTTCGTTGTAGATGAGTTCTGCAAAACCGTGATGTGGCACTCTGCCTCCGTCAAGGAGTTCTCCAGATCCCTTGTCCTGATCTTCAGATAGTCGATCTCGTTGTCCGCATGCACTAGACCTGCCTGCAGCTCGTCGATCTCCTTCTGCAGACTGTCTATGAACTGTCTGGTGTACTCTCTTTCTGTTATGACGACGGCGTTGATTGTGTGCGAAATGTCCTGATGGGTGATGATACTCGACCCAGGCCCGGAGATGCCGAAGGGTGCAGAAGGGCCTGCGGTTGGGGTGGTGGATGATTCTGCAGGTGGTGGGCCCAATGGGTTCCTCCATCCTTGCGGGGCCGGAGAGTGTATTACTCCCCTTGGTGGAGTCGCTACTCTTGGTACAGCTGGGGGAGCGTCTGTCACTTCCGTATCCTCGGAAACGACGATCCCAGTTTCTCCTAGATTCTCGGACATGGAAGAATCTACAAGAGGAATCCAAACAGGAAACAGTGTGGAGTGCGAGTTCTCTGGCTGCGACTAGATGGGATCTGTATGGCGGAGCCGTGATAACAGAGGTGCGAATGCAGTGCGTGTAGCAGTTCGTCAACCTAAAAAGAACTCAAGAGGAGTTCGCGAAAGACGCGGTGAACTTCAGGTCTACTTTTAGCACCCTAAGTTCTTAGGTATTGTACTAGGGTTATAAGACCCGCGAGTGCCGTTCTGTTACATAGAAAGCAAGTAGGTAGTGTACAGTTGGCAGGGTTTTGGGCCAAACTGCAGACGTATGGAAACAGGACCTAAAGTCACTGATCCTTATGAACTGGCGGCTCATGTAAGACGAGGGCCTGGTCCACTTCTACTTAAAAGACTAACGTAAAGAAATTGAGATAGAGAAACACGTTGGGGAAATGATGATTGAACAAAAAATGTGATCTGCAAGAATATTCTCAAGCAGAACAGCACAGTGAAGTTCATTGAGAATGGTGATGTCCAAGACAAAGTTCAAGTCAGAGTGGTAGAATAGACTTAACCTAATGTTATGACCCACGTTCACCAATAATGATGAAGGAGAGTTCACGACCACTAGGACTCGGTCTGAGATGATAACGAGCAACAGGATAGATTGAGTGTAAATGTCTAGGTCACTACAATAGTAGGAAACAAAGAGGTTAAGTCTAAGGAGCTCTTACACTAACTACCCTACTTTTATACATAACATTGAGTAGGAGTCTGAAAGAAATCAGCCAATGAAAAAAGAGTTGTACGATACTGCGGATGAGTAAGTATGACATCATGATATATAAGCGACTGAGTAAGATGGTTACTAAATAGAAACCCAAGATCTGACCGGTTCTTCTTTAGGAAGCGAGATTGTTCTAGCCTGTGGAGTAGGGGAGCCAATCGGAGAAGTAACGGGTGACATATGACGAGGAGTCACATGACCAGCTCGGGTACTGGAAGTAGCCGAAGGAAAACCGAGAAATGAAAAATGGTTCGTATTAGGAATTCGTGACAGATAGCAACAGCAGTAAAAAAATACAATAGCAGAGAACAGCAATGATGATACATAGCAAGGGGAACAATGACAGCAAACATCTCAGGTATCTCCAGATGCAGAACATTTACTGCCGCCCTGCATCATCTGGTGAAATTGAATCTTCAGGTGCCACATTTCTGCCTCCTTGTCAAGCGCTAAGGCCTGGGCCTCATGCACTTGGACATCCATCTTGTGAAGGTGAATTTCAGCGTCCTTAGTCTCCTGCTCTCATTGATGGCTGGCAACAGCTTGCATGGCCTCATGCACACATGCCTCACGAAGGTACTCGTATTTCTTTGTCTCCCGATGGTAGTCCTTCTTCATGTCGAGCTTCGCAAGGAAGTGTTCGTGCTTGAAGCTATGGTGTGATGCAACATCTGATTGAAGACTCTCGATCCTGTCGTTGCCCCTCTTGACTTGCTCCTGGATGTCCAATTTCACTTTGTTCTTCTTTGACCCTGTGCTCTTCAGTGGCAGCACTGATAGCGAGGTCTGGGAGGTTGGAGAAGTAGGAAAGTCTGTTGAAAAAGTATTGTGAGTTGTCGATGAAGGTGTCAACAAGCTGCGAGTCATCCCTGGTTATAATGATGCAATAGACGATGATCTGCATCGTGGCCGGAAGGCCCCTGAGTGCCAAACACTGCATGGCTGTTGTAGAAAGGCATTGCTGACTTCTGGGAAACTGCAAAAGGGGTGGGGGGGTCAGGAGGAGGAGACGGTGAAGATGCAAGTTGTCATTTCTTCCCAGCAACCTTTGGAGGGCTATTGAGGTCAAAAATAGGGTACAGGGTATCAGTATCCATGTGGTCTTCATCCAAGTGGTATAGTGGAAGGAATGGGAGCAGCAGGAGGAGCAGAAGGAATGGGAGCAGCAGCAGGGGCAGAAGGAACAGGAGCAGCGGGTGCTAGCAGGCAAGGATCAATTTGTGGATCAGTGAATGGATGGCTAGGAGGAGCAATATGAGGGGGAGGGGGCTGAGCCCTGGTGGCACCCCTGGTATGTGCAGAGGGACCAGCCCTGCCATGCAGATGCACTAGCCTGTACATGTCACCTGATGTGGTCAATGCCAGGCTTGGACGACATAGTTTTTGCTGCAAAGGAGGGGTTTGAGTGCCAGATGGCGTCAAGTTCCTTGTACCATGGAAATTCATGACAGACTTCTTCTAAAAATTTGAATTAGTCAAACCTCTAAATGAATCAATAAGAACACTCACCTTGTAGGTTTTTAGTAGAGGCATCATCAAGAGGGACTACACCAGTGCCAGTTATGCTAAACTTAGCCTTAAGGGGCTTGTATTTGTTTCAGCAACAACCCTCAACATGTGGATTGCATTTGAAGCCTAGACACGAAGCACGAAGCTTGTTGGTACCATCAAAACCACACTCCTTGAGAATTTCAGCCATGCTTTTGAATGCACCAGCATGTTCATGGCCTTCCAAGAAATAAAAGGACTGTACAGTCCCATCGACAAACCAGCCATCTGCCATGCAATTTTTTTCCTTGAGTACCTTTCCATTAGGGCCATGAACAGGCTTTCTGTCATCTCCTATTACTCCTCTCTCAACTCCAAATGGCTGATTGCCAGGTTTTGTAGGAAACTTTGGCATGCTCCGGGCAGAAAGTGCATCATCTGCACATTTCAAGTGAGTGGTAGTATTATTAAAGATGAGGATGTGGTGGTCATGCGGGAAGTGTCAATCCAGAATGTCCATTGCCAGTGCAGTGTGATGAAGGATGGCTTCATTAGTGAAATAGCCATCATGGGATTTCCCCACCATAAAGAGAGTGTGTGTTGATTCTTTTCTGCAGCATGAGCACAGCCACCCGTAATCTGCTGACACAAAATCAGCAACCATCAATGAAGTCCCTTCTCCTTTGTGGCTGGGGCTTTGCATTTTCTTTCTCATGCACCCAATACACCTTCTGACGGTCATTAGCATAGAAGGTGGACTTGTCATGGAACCACAAGATAATATGCTGCATGTGTGAACAAGGCTCATCTGTAGCCTCTTCAAGCCCATCCTGCCATGCATGCATGTGGATCAATAGCTCTCCAATGCTTGGGAGAAATTTTGTCTGATGGTATGTAACAACATCATTCCTTTCATGTCCATCGATGTATTGCCCTGATGGCATCTTGGTCCAGTGGTAATCCATCATATGCATCCAACACTGAGCAGTTGCAAGGGAAATTGAGCTCTTGAGCTTGTATTTCTGCTGCACTTTACTTTGTGCAAGGTAGTCAACAACATCCTGTGCTCTCACATATTTTCCAATGTTTTGCAGGTGGTTGTGAATATCTTTTGTGAGGTCCCCTTTGTCAAGCAGTGACATGATCCAACTGCCATAAAGGTTAATTGGAAGGTCATCACAGTCCTCAATAAACGAATGAGTCCATTGATGAAGGTGTTGACTCGTATGTCCACCTTTCTGGTGAGCATGCACTGTGTAATCACAGGCTTCAGTCCAAGTGCAAGGCTGTTTTTGATCAACATGCATCCACAGGAACATACACATCATTTCAAGATGCTTGCAAAGAAGGTTGTCTCCATTGAATGGTACATGGCCTATTCCATCCTTCCAGTGCAGATTTAGAATTTTGATCAAATCTAAAAGGGCCTTCTGGCATGCAGGTATGGTGGGTGGACACCTGAGTGGCACCATCAATATTACTAATTAGTAATTATGTCAGGTACCTTATCCTGTTACTAAGTAGTAGAGCGTAGCTATGATCTACTACACCAGCAAATATACCAGCAAACCAGCAGTACCTTGGGGGACACTCACCTTCCTCGTTTCGGGCCGAATGTGACAGCCCGCCTAATGCCGAATCTTGTTCCCGGCTATTTCCCACTGTTGTCACCTCCTCTATATTGCGCCCACTGTCATCCGCTTAACGCCGGCAAGGCTCTGCTCGTCGTCTACGATGATGAGCTCAATATGCAGTCATTCTGCGCCCGATTTTCAACCATTTTTGTTCAGACCTTTTGCTACTGTTCAGCGCTAGTTGTCCCGCTGTTGTGCCCTCTGTATGTTATGTTTTTTATTTCATTTTTGTCATATAATCACACCTTCCTTAGCTCTTACACGTCTTCAACCATGAGTCTACTGCGCGCAGCGATAAGGTAACAGTGTGTGTGGTGAGTGTTGTTCCCACGCTTCCCTGCTCTCAATGCTCACTGCAGGTGCTTGACAATGACCTCTACAAAGCGGAAACACTTATCCACGATCCTGTGTGTGCGCCAGACACGTGTTCTGAATACTGGATCATCAAGGACCATGAAAGCATCCCTCTCTCAAGTCCGGAGAGACCATTTGGCCTTCGAAGAAGAGCAATGGGCAACCAAGATTCGTATGTTCAGCGCTAACATGAATACATGTATGGCATTAACATAGTGACTAGCCCGCGACAGCCGCTCCCTCTGTGTTTTGCTCCTCCTCGTCCTCACCCACCTCATCCTCATCCTCTGAGCTGTCAGTATCCCCAATTACAGCTGCACTTTTGGTGCTGCCAGTGACCTTTTTTTTTGTGGCTTTGCGTGGCTTGTAAACACACTCGCTGTTGTTTGCTCGTTCATGGTTATCTGCTATGCGCTGCTCCACTTGCTCTTGGGTAAGTTGAATCCACAAGCATCGTTCATTCACCAGCGCATCAAGGAGTGTTACCAGGTCTTCGCGACGGCCAATCTTGCCGGGGTTCTGAACCTTGCCGCATGTCCAGCCCTCAAGTGCAATGCCGTGCATCTCGACGATTTTCTGCTCGTAATTGTCATAATTCATCTTAATCTTCTTCTTCGACAGGTTGCATTTTCTCACGATGGCATCTTGGCGCGTGGACAGCATCAGTGACGATGTTTCGAATGACAAGTACATACTACTCACCGAGTCCCTCCTGAATGTTGGTGTGACATAAACTGATCAACTTGGTGGGAGATAAACGGTGTGTTGCATCAGCACGAGTATCTGTGGGAATTGAACACTGAACATTAAGTATTTATTAACTCCAGGTGACCTTGTACACTTACCAAAATTACCAGTCACCCAGGATTTGAACTTGAGCGCAAAACACTTTGGATCGAGATGCGAGATCTCCTTAATGAAGGACCGGGCTTTAGGTGTGTAGAATATCTTTGATTCATGAAAATGTTCAACGTCACCACGAACTGCGATGTAGAAGCCTTCAATGCCTGTTCGAGAAGTGATGTTCTCCCACTAACATTCATCCTTAGGTCAAACACAACCATAAAAGCTTGTGGTACGTACTTCGTTTGCCATGTTGTTGAACATCGCATCAACTTGTTTTTGCAGTGCTTTCGGATTCGAACGCACGATCTTGATGCGATTCTCACGTAAAGTATTAACTTCACGACAAAGCTTTTCCTTCTCAGATGCGGAGAGGCGACAATATCCGGCGGTGAGCTCTCGTCCGTGCTCCGCAATGAACGCTGTAAGTTTCAATTGCTGTCCCACAGGAAGCGCTGTAGTAAGGTATTAGTTTTTTTTTGTCGACGAAGAAGAAACACGCTAATACCTTGGTTCGCTTCATTCAGCTTTTGACTCGTGAAGGCATTCCATGCATTAGGCTTTCGGCGCTTGCGCAGGCCTCTATCATTGTGCAACTGGAGCCGAGTCCACTTGATGCTCCTGACTCGCAGCATTGTAAGTGTCGAAGTCATTGCAAGGTATTGTCTCCTCACCGTTTGTATTTTTCTGAAATAACTGCAGCTTCCTCCTGATATGCTTCCCGTGCCTCGTCAATGGCATTCGAGAGGCCAACAGCCTTTTGTGCAACGGTTGGCCTTCTGTGTCACGGTGAGTTTCGACCTGAATCTGTTTGATTTTCGGTGTGATGCTAATAACCATTATATGAAAATGGACAGATGAAGACTGGGATGGTGAATGAGCCACAAAATAAATTGAAGGCGAGGGACAGTAGGTTTATAATATTTTGCCACAGGGCAGATCTTCGACTCATCAAAAGTATATATTATGGTATGGACAGATCACTCAAATTTTGTATATATGTATATGTCAGCATTTTAAAACTTCAGTATTACATCCCTACCTAACCTAAGTCTGGCCTCGTCACAGCATAAACATATTCCTCCCCTGCTGCAACAGAGTCAGTGTATGATGGTGGTGTGTCATCACCAGCCAGCCTTCGATCTCTTCCACTCAAGAGTGGGTGAAATGCACCCAACCCAAACTGTCCGATGACATCGGAATATTGAGTTTGTGGGAAAGGAATAACACGAACAACACTTGTCGTAAAACTTGGGGGATTAGCCCTACTAGTAGTTTCAGAAGAACCCGGGGTTGCATGGTGAACAGCATTGCGCTCCATAACTGATGCGTCGGAGGCAGTAACAGCGGAGCCCTCCAAGTCCTTAAAAAAATTACTGTCAGTGACGTACACTGAGGTCCGTGAAATCAAATACCGTAGTCATCAGTTGTCCAATATTCGGCTCAACATCTTGGAGACTGGTTGACATGACTTGTGATTGTACCGGTAGTTTGAACGGAGACGAGTTTGGGGTACTAGACAGATCCGATACAGTGGAAATCGAACCTAAGAAAAGATATAGTGCGTGAATGTTAATGGGAGCTGTCACTCACTAATACTTGCTGCGGGACTGCTAGAATGCTCACGGCTGACAAAAGACTTCAAAGGTATGGTGAGAGAGGTTGTAATATAAGTAGTTTGACAATACTTACATTGTCGACACATGGAGGAACCTCAGCAGAAGGTACAGGCTTCTGGCGGACAGCAGTAGGAGCAAGAATAAACTCCCTCGCGGGTTGTGCCTGCTCTGTTGGATTGTGAGGGCGTGCTCGTGCTCCACGCGAACTCGTGGTCACGGGTTGTGCCTGCTCCATTGGATTGTGAGGGTGTGCTCGTGCTCCACACGAACTCGTAGTCACGGGTTGTGCCTGCTCTGTTGGATTATGAGGGCGTGCTCGTGCTCCACGCGAACTTGTGGTGGCTGTTGTTCTACTGGCAGGTGTGGGTGCGAGAATAAAATCTCGAGCTGGAGGAGGGCGAATAGGTGATGACGGCGGGGGAAATTCGAGCGAGGCATGGCTTCCAAGTTGAAATATATTATCGGCTTTGTAGGACAAGCATCAGAAATAAGACAAGACACAGGAAACAAGGCGACTTACTGTATGATTTAACCTTCACACCATGGGTGCGCACTGGTTTATTTCATCTCTTAAAAACCTTCTTCGAAATTTGGTGCGCTACTTGAGAAGTGAACATGTCATGCATTAACGAAATCGCTTGGGATACTTGTGTATTGATGAGTTTCTGTGAATCAGTGATATTCAAGCAGGGGGACTGTCGAGTATTGACGAGCACTGCCGGTGAGTTTCAACTGAACATCGGCTCGATTAGAAAATGAGTAGCGTGCTTCAAATGTAACGAAAATTGAATGCTGCGGTGGGGAATAAGTTTTGGAGACTGAAGCGATCAAGGGATGTTCATACTGTGGTATTCATGCTTACAGCAAGATCTAGCCATGAAAATCTTTCCATATGACGTGCTGCAGGTGTACTATTAGCGAATGTGCCCTTCAAGGCCCAAGTTTCAGTCTGGGTAGTTGGGAGGATATGAGCAAAGGTGAGGCAGCAGCTTTTTGCTTAGCAAATTTCTCTGTAATTGGTGTCAGTGCTGTACACAATCAATTGAGTAGATCCGATTAACTGATCACAAAGACCATGTATGATCCTGAGATGTAGTGACTTAGCATGTAGTACATGACCTTCGTCTTGTTTGAAAGTGCCAGTGGTTCAATGACAAGGCCAATGAGGATGTGATGGCATGATGCATGAAAGTGTATCTACACTTCGTTGCTGATCAATCAATGATTCAATCAATCCAATGGCTGTAGCACTGAATCCCAAGGGGTTGGTCACACGTCTTGAAGTCGACTCGCTTGTTCTGAGAGTTAATGTTGTTAGATATTGTACTTATATATGTCGTCTCTGAGTAGGATGTGTTCTTGTATATGTCGTCTCTCAGCGTGATGTAGTGGCTCGGTCTTACAGCTGGACATATATTACACCGAGTCATATCATTGCCATAGATTTCGATTCTAATTCTACTCGGACATACATGCATCGAGGCGACTAGCCTCATCACAAAGAGTATCATCCTCATCTGCAAGAATCACCGAGGATCCGTCCAAGTCACCCAACACCAATTCAACACCATCTCCATCCCTCCCGTCTCTCCTTTCTTCGCCCACACGAACAAGACCATTGTATCCTGGGAGATCATAGATTGCTCCGAGTCTGGTGCGGTGAATGTTATTCACCCGACGACATTCCTCAAATCGCCACTGAATCTCGTATGCAAGGGCAGGATGAGTCTCTGAGAGTGACCGTGCAACTGACAACAGATGTGTGTCTTCGTCATCAACCCATGTATGAAGCTGTGCTGCTTCGACATTCAAGCGAGTGATCTCCTCACGTGCACGCACCACTTTAAAATATTTTGCAGCAACTTCACGATTAGCTTTTGAAGCCCAAGGCTTGGAGAGGAGGTCTCGGCGAGAATGCTTCAGTAAGTCAAATTCCCCCAGCCACGCATAAGATGCGATATCATGGTATTCGAGAGTTGGTCTGGGTGGGTTTTGCAAAGGTGCGAGGCTGTTGTACTTGTCCAATGCCACACATATTGCTGCAGATCGTCAAGCTATAGCATTTGAGATGTGTTGATGTAATTTGTAGCCTGTTATCGAAGCGTGAATAAGTACTAGATCACTGTGCGCAAAATACTCACCAGTCCCTGCAAGATTGGCTTTGGCTAACTCAAATAGCCTCTTGACCACTAACCCTTCAAGGTACTCGACAACACGGATGAAGCGACGATTCGTCAAGGAGTTGAGCGCATGTTTATATTCGCCTTGTTCTCGAGTCCAACACTCAGTGATGCCCATTCGACGCTCAAGGTCATCAACAGCATTCATCTCCAGTACTAACCTACGGTATGCTGAGCTGCGCTCAGCCTCCCAAGCTCTTGCAACGGCTTGCATGCTCTTGCAAAGCCCTTGGGTGGGCGTGAAATCCACTGGAGTATAGGACAGGAACTGGACAGATGTGACACGCCCATACACAGCCCTGAAGAGATCTCTTAGTTAAACTTAGTTTGACGTGGGTAAATAATTCAAAAACTTACTCTGCGCTCGCCAAGGACTCAAGGGCTTCGACGTATGTCATTTTCTCAACATCTTCTTCAGTCTCAATAGTGAGGGTCTGCAAGTACTCTAATTCCTCGGTGTTCCATTTCTCAAAATCCGTGTCAGTCAGCCCAAGCTGTGCTTTGAGCTCTTCAACTGCAGGCGATAGCTCATTGATGATATGGAGGGCCTGCTTGTAGTTGTTGTAGATGAATTTGCCTATGAAAATGTTATCGACTGTAAGGCGTCTCGACTCAAGCAAAACACCCACTGAGTTCAGAGTATTTGTCTAAGTCCCATTGGTCAAAATGTAGTTCGATGAATTGTAGCCAATGAAAGTAAGACGCGTGACGAATAATGGGCGCAACTGCATTGGAACCAGAGAAGATTCGTTCGCACGTTTCTAAGTCCTCGATGCCAAGACCCTTTTGATAGAGCGGATGATATTGAATTTGACATTGGCGATTGTGAGCATGGCCAGTGAAACGAGTTGACAAGGAAGCGATGGTGGTTAGCACTGGCCTTTAATGATATTGAACTTGCTGCGACAGTTTTGCTATACGAGCATCCAATATCATACCCTGTGGCGCCATTCGAGCCGTAGACATTGAGAATCTTGCTTGTGGTTGCTAGTGCATACTTCGCGCTAGAAGAAAAATTAGAACAACGTACACTTGAGTATGAAATGTTTATGGCATACAGTTCTCCGCTCTTACGCATCTCCACCAAGGTCTGTACTATGCCGTGACGACAAGCACTGACAAAAATTCCTGTCTGATCAAAGACGCTGACGGTGTTCTTGCTGATGGTATTTGCCGTTTTCCAATTCTCTGTGCAGGCAGAGTCATCACTGGCAGCTGTGGGAGTGACATCGGCAGCTATGCGAGTGCCTGGGCGCAGGCGAACATCGTCCTTGAAGAATTCCACTTCGGAAGGTGGGATCAAATACTCTGATGGGAAAACACGTTCATCGGCGTGGCCAGAGCCATCAACTCGCTTTAATGAATTGTTCCCGTCCATGCTGTCAAGCCGAGCAGGGTCAAGGGGTTCTTCGTTATCTTGCTAAATGAAAAAAAAAAATTAGAGTGCGTGCATGAGAAGAACATGTTGATATTACATACCTTATAGCTGCATGGTGGACAAGCATTTAACATCCGCCAGTTCAAACTATCGTGTCCGAGTGCCTGGTTGACAAGAGCCTTGACATGACGCAAGACATCGAGGTAGGCATCAAAGGCGATCGCAAATTGATCACGGAATGATTGAAAGTACGTGCGCTGCAATAACATTAGTAGGGTGCGGTGGGGTAACTTATTTACAAACTTTATGGAGAGCACAAAGGACTTTGACCATGGCTTGCACGCTAAAGGAAGACTTGCGGCAGTGGATTTGATGATAGAGTTCGAGACATTTGAGAGAGATAGCGGTGGTAGGTTGTTGTGGGGAACAACCTAGGAAGCCAGCCTTGATTAGAGAAACATTGGCGAGCTCGTCTGGTGCTTGGTGGATTGATTGAACAGCACAGAAACCTGTGAATAATTGTTTGTCAACGAGAAGGCAAATATACTTGACACTCACTCAATATACCAACACTTGTGACATGAAATGTAGACCCCGCCCTACCATCGATCCCACCAGTCACACTCTCGACACCACGGTGCTTCCACGAGAGGAAGGAGCCGACCAAGTCGGTCATTTGACCGGACCATGCAGCATGCATTGCTCGATTACGATGGAGACGGGAACGGGGTGCTCAACGACGATAATTTTTCATGCCTTGTAAACTAACATACAGTGAGAGAACTATTGAGATCAAAATAACTCAACTCACCAAATGATGACCTGTGCGCGCGTTGCACTGAGAGCTGGGTCATCTTGTCCCACAGCCCCCACCTTTGAGTGTGCAGCCTGGTCGCCAGCATTGCTTTCGGTCTCCTCATCATCGTCTGAGTCAGCGCCATTTGGATGATGGTGGTCGTAGTCCCAGTTACCAAAGTCAGTGGAAGGTGCTGCAGGATCCCCAGTGGATGCTCGTCCAACTTCAAGGGCAGCTTCAGCAAGCAGTTGTCGGGTTTTAGCTGTCAATTCTACATGTATTCGTGTTAGAACTGGATGATACATGTAAGTATGGGAGAACGTACAAATGTTTGTTGCACGTTGCTCTTCTTCGAAGGCCAAACGGTCTCTCCGGACTTGAGTGAGGGATGCTTTCGTAGTCCTTGATGATCCAGTGTCCAGAATACGTGTCTCGCGCACACGCGGGATCGTGGATAAGTGTTTCCGCTTTGTAGAGGTCATTGTCAAGCACCTGCAGTGAGCGTTGAGAGCAGGGAAGCGTGGGAACAACACTCACCACACACACTGTTACCTTATCGCTGCGCGCAGTAGACTCGTGGTTGAAGACGTGTAAGAGCTAAGGAAGGTGTGATTATATGACAAAAATGAAATAAAAAACATAACATACAGAGGGCACAACAGCGGGACAACTAGCGCTGAACAGTAGCAAAAGGTCTGAACAAAAACGGTTGAAAATCGGGCGCAGAATGACTGCATATTGAGCTCATCATCGTAGACGACGAGCAGAGCCTTGCCGGCGTTAAGCGGATGACAGTGGGCGCAATATAGAGGAGGTGACAACAGTGGGAAATAGCCAGGGAACAAGATTCGGCATTAGGCGGGCTGTCACATTCGGCCCGAAACGAGGAAGGTGAGTGTCCCCCAAGGTACTGCTGGTTTGCTGGTATATTTGCTGGTGTAGTAGATCATAGCTACGCTCTACTACTTAGTAACAGGGATAAGGTACCTGACATAATTACTAATTAGTAATATTGATGGTGCCACTCAGGTGGGGTGGAAGGTGCTCATGGCCTTCTCTTGGCTCACTGTCAAGAGTGTGGCTCTGTGGCTCTTCAGACTCAGAGTCTCCAAGTCCACATCATCAGCAGAGTCTTCATTGAGCTCATCAAATGCATCTTTAGAGGATGGTGGGGCCATGGGTGGGTGGCAATTCTCAACTGAACTACCCTCAGGCTCTTGCAGACTTGGAGACCCAGATTCAGCAGAATCCTGATCAGAAGATTCTCATCACTACTGCAGCTATTTCTGTCTATATGTAAGTACTCACTGCATTCTGTTTGTCATTGTCAATGATCTTCCTCTTCTTCTCAAGTGCTTTGATTAGATTGGCCTTCCTGGCCAAGTCTGTGCGGGTCCGTTTGCCCATTCCTGGCAACTTCAAATTGTTGCACATAACCTGGTTTGGTATGTTCAGACAATGTGCATAGCTTAGTCATCATTGAAGGTGTTCTTATTTCTCTCTTGTCAGACAAGCTGTTTGAACAGTGGGGGCATTGTCTGTATTGCTATGCCCGGAGACTGATTTTTGTTTAGTGTTGTGTAGCCTATGAAATATGCCAATGTCACGCTTTTCTCCCTCAAAATTGTTGCAGTGTGACTATTTACATCACATGATGTTGGTAGTGTTTGTATGAGCCCTATCTTACTTGCAATGGCTCACTCCTGGGAAATCTTTCGATAAATGAGGCCTGTTTCTTACTCTTCCACCTCACCTACACTACCTATTCTGAGTATTGCCTAGCTTTACCTAGCCTCCTTCTCTGTTTTTAGTCTGCTTATGAAGCAACATCCACACTGGATGCAGTTGTTCCTACCGGTTTTCAAAGCGCTCACACACATGGGCAAAACTAGTACTATTGTTATCACACATGATTTATCTCAAATTGAAGCTACTGATTTCGTTTACATTTTGAAAGAAGGATGTATTGTTGAACAAGGCTTTTGAGGTGACCTGGAAAATCCAAAGGTAGGGAGGAGAGCGAGATTTGCTCTATGGCAGCAGACCTCATCAGGAAAAATTACCACTGTGAATTAAGGGAAGTTTTCTGTAATACCCTAAGGTTTTTCATGATGTCACTGCTTACCAACCTCACGATTGTGTCCTCCATTCCACCTGCATGATCGATCTTCTACACCACAAACTAATGAAATGTGAGATTGTGCCATTTTCCAGAAACATTGAAAATGGATTTGTCAAGTGTGTCAAATATCAACATTTCAGTGTGTCAAAGTTGACCATAATGCTGGAGTGGGCTTTGCTGTATGCATACACTGGACTCTACAATGAAGTGATGATCTCCTACTGCTCCCGAGACTCTGTCTAACCCCCTGGCTGCACTCTAAACACTGCCAAACACCTCTGCACCCTGACCTCCTCCCTAGGGGTCCCCTACTCCAAGTGCCCCCCTTTAAAACAGTGATGACTGTGTCACGACCTCCTGCTTCTTCTACTCCCCATTGTCTTCCTCTTCATCTTTGTCCTCTTTGTCCTCTTCATCTTCTTCATACTCTCATTCTCTGCCCTTTATTTGATTTTCTTTGTTTATCTGCTGCTCTTCTTTGTCCTGTTCTTCCTCTTCCTCTTCTTGTGTTGTTTGTGCTTCTCTTTCTTTCTGCTCTTTTTCTAACTTTGTGCCTTCACTCAGGATGAACACTCTTAACCATCTTGCATGGAACTTGCCTGTTAGTGGTTCTCCTTGTGTGGTCTCTAAATGGTACAAGTTGCATAACCTTTCAGTGATGCAATGGGGAGGCAACCATTTCAGCAACAGTTTGTGTTTTGCTTTGAGTGTATTGTGTGCACTGCTATAATAAAATTGAACCAGTTGTCCTTTCATAAAGATCACTTCCCTTGGTGAATGCAATAATATGAGCTTGTGTCATATACCTGATCCGACTGCTCCACTTATTGATATCTGCTCCACCCAACATCATACTTCCCCCACTCTCCTACCACCTCCACTCCATCCACCCTCCACTCGTCCCAGTTGGCTCCTGCATCCACTCCTACAGCTCCGCTCGACTGCCTCGTTGGTTGCCTTCCACATCATCCATTCTACTGAAAAACTCCTTTCCCCATTTAGGTATATACTTTCCCCATTTACACATAGTACTTACTCCCCGGATCACCAGTACTTCCAATAGCCACTCAACTAACTGATCCAACACGTACATATTGATATCCACCCCGACTTATGTTTTTCACCTGTGTCTACTTACAAATTGTATACTTGGTACATAGCCTCATACCAAGGACTAACTAGTCACTGCCTCCTACATAGAAGTATATAAAAACATATCCTGTACTTAGCTACTCCCCAGTCTTAATATTACTTGTCTTCCCGCTGTCTCTACTAGTGGGAATTCTCCAGTAGGACTTTGCTCCCTCTCTGGACACAAGTTTACCTTGTTGTCGCCTCCGACCCTCCGCTCTGACTTAGAGCCACGCTCTAAGTATTCACTCTTACCTCTCCGACTCCACCAATCAATCCCCTTGCTCCCCTCCGTCCCAATAAACTTCCTCCACCTCCTCCACTCTGCTCCTAGTCGGATTACTGCTAGCAGCACTTACTTCCCAACCCACCAAAGTGGACCAAAGCAGTCCACTTGTCCTATTGTTGGACATTGTTGGATCCACTCCAAATTCGGGGCACGTACTCAACTAAGGACACAGTTCAAGAGCTGAAGCCAAGCCCCAACCCCTCTGCTTCCCTGTCCGAGCACAGTCTCTAACACTATCCATGAAAAATAAATAAAAACACATTACCTGACAGCCAAGGGAATACTTGGATTTCCTATCATAAAATGTTTCACCAAAATAGGCAGGTTTGGTGAAAAGATCCATAGTCAAGCCATCAATGGCTAGATAGCCACCCCTCCACTCCGGACAGGTTCGTGTCTCAGCAAACTGCCGAGCCAGCTCAGTATCCTCAGAGTTATCTTCTGGGAAGAAGATAAACTGATCATGCTCCTCGAGCAATGCAACCATCACTATGGTTAGTGCAATTGATGACTGACCTGACACTTACACCCTGCCCATTGTGCAACATCCTCAAGTGAAATGGCATTGTCATAGTGGCCTGCACAATTTAGAAAAATGGTCACCTGGATGGAGACTGGGAGCTGAGGATTGTTGGACTGGTTGTGGAAGATAGGATGATCAGAGATCTGGTCAAGGATATCATCAAATATTTCTGGATTGACACAGAGTTTCTGGTGAAACAAATGAGGGCAGGTGTTCCTCGTGGTGAACCAGCATATGTAGCTGAGGTGCTCGAGGAGGAGGCTGGTCAGGCTTGTGGAATATATGGGCCCTCTCAACCTCATCATGAAGAGCAGCAATAGTGTGCTGGAGCCAGGTCATAATGCACAGTGACATCATCTGAGTCATCCGAGTCATCAGATGTGTCACTGTAGCTGGAACTGAGGCCCAAAAGGTGGGACATTGGGGACACAGGGGACATAGGGGACATCAGGGACATTGAGGATATGGGGGATGGGGAGGCAAAAGTCAGATCTTCACCATCTGAAGTATAAAGTGAGTCTGAGTTGGTATCAGAGTCAGAGTCTGTGTCCTGGTCATCTAGGAGTATATTCAAATATTGTGAGTTGGCTAATGCCAATGAAGCCTGATCAATGGTATGAAGGAGGTCTTTACGTGTGAACTGATGAGGCATGGCTGTGACTTGGGAGGGGGGTATTTTCTTATCAGTACACCCAATATCCAACTGATTGGTCAGAGTTTAAATTGGAGTTTTAAATCTCCACCACAGTTAGCACCAGCTGGCATCTGTGTCCCTCAGACCTCCATGCATTCTGTAGCTCAAATCTTGCCCTCCCCTTGCACCTTCCCAGCACAATCCTGCAGGTGGATAGTGGGGAGGGATAATATGGCGCTGGATGGGAGGTTGAGGATGCAAATGTGAGTCATTTTTCTGCCCCTCTCACCACTGATTTTTGTTGCAGGGACTTGGGTCAGGCATGGCATTTCCTCCATTTACCAGCTATCAAGAAGCATTCTCCTCCCCATTACCGCCATCTATGTTTGCCACATTTACAGTGGCCCCTCCATGCATACCAGGGGTGCCACCAGGGCTCAGCCCCCCCCTCATGTTGCTCCTCCTAGCCATCCATCCACTGATTCACAAATTGATCCTCACCTGCTAGTACCTGCTGCTCCTGTTCCTTCTGCTCCTTCTGCTCCTCCCGCTGCTTCCACTCCTGCTTTTCCCACTGCTCCTGCTCTCGTGCCCTATTTTTGACCTCACCATCATGCATTTATTTTTCGTTTTTTCTCGCTCATTAAATACCTAGCTACATCTATATATTTTTGTGTAGATACATGCCTCATAATTTGACTAAGTGTTGTTTCCAAGTCCGCTCTGATGCCGCTGTGCCGTGTGTCTTTCTGGCTTTCTGGCCGAGTTTGTTGAAGACTTTAGCGAGCTTTTTGAAGCTTTAATGAGTTTGTTCAATGGTTTAAATTTTATCGTGAGTACTACTACTAAGTGCATCATCATTGGAACAAAGAGTCAATCCTGTTCTACAAATATGTACATAGCTAGGCAGAGAATGTACATTTTAATGATTTCGTTCGATTATTTATTCAACCAACTCAGTAATTCGACGAGCTCCCGGCGTTTTATCGAAGGGCACCCTCACTGACCACTGTAGCACCCAATTCTTGCCAGGCTTCGCTATTCGTAGCTCGCTGTACGCGACCAACTCAGAGCGATATATGATATCCTCTTCACGCCATCCCGTAGCATCCAATATGAGCTCCTTAAACTCGCCAGCTGTGAACCGAGTACCCTTTCCTTCTTCGTGCTTGTACTTCGCACCATCTGGTCCATTGGCCAACCCGACTTGACGACCCCACATAAGTCCACCAGGTTTAGCTAGAAAGGCCATTGACCGTATGAATGCTAGTTGCCCCTCAGTCTGGAAGAGATGTACGACATTTGCTGAGTGCACAAAATCGAACTTGCTTTCCAAACTGGCGTTGCGTTCACAGAATAGAGGATCAAGGGCATCGGTCTGCTTAAACTTGATGGAAGGTGTGTCCCCTTCGTTGTACATGAGACGCCCGATGTCAAAGAATCCTGAGCGTCATATTAATAAAGAATTTGTAAAAGACACGAAACTCACGGTTCTCGATATCGAGCCCCATGATGTCCTAGGGCATCTAAATAAGCATCTGAGCACACGATTCGACAAGTGAGCCGTACCAGTACTGGGAAACCATCCACGACCAACTTCCTTAGATCAGTTCCCATACAACATCCAAGATCAACCAAAGTCATTCTGTATGGACGTGAGCGGCGGGTCTCCTGCACCTCCTGATACTGGAAGTGATGATCAATTCTGGGCTCCGCAAAGATGCTTTCACGGATACAAGTATGTGGGGCAACCTAACACGAAGGTGAGTCTAGGCCAAAATACTTTCAAACGGTGCATTACCCTAATTCCCGTTCTCCGCGCACCACCTATTCTTTGAATGACAACAGCCGAGGACTCGTTGGAATCCTTCGAGAACTTCTTATGCAAACGCAGTGTGTCATCTAATCGTTTAAGGAATACCGAATCCGGTTCAAGGTCGACTTTATTGAATAAAATGCTGAAGAGCTGAGTATCGAACTGCTCGGGTGTGAGAGAGAAGCCTCCACCACCGAATGATGTTAGTTCTTTGTCTGGCTGCGCTTCAGAATCTGCTAAAAGAAAGATGAGCAACGCTCACCATTGACAGATGTCTCCATGACGCAAGGCCAATTATCCCACCCACAGAACCGTTTGAGTGAGCCTTTTAGGTCGTTATACAGCAAGATACCAACAGCACAGTTCAAGAAGAACGAATCGGGGTGCCGGGAGAAGTCCCTCGTCAAGAGCGCGCAGCATAACAGAGCGGCTGACAAAACGTTCCCGGCAGACTCCATCTGCTCTTCCAAATTCCAGGCAGTGTACTCGAGAAGAGGTTTAAGGGTATATTCCAACTTCATGAAACATATGACTTTGTCCAGATCACTCAGCGGTGCATCCAAGTCGATGCAAACCTTGCCGTCATCGATCCTCCACGAAACCGGAGCGCGTTCAGAAGTGGGGTCGGAGGATTTGGAAGTGATATCGTGATACATAACGGAGAAGAACCCGTCGAGGTAAAGCGGTTTCGCGAGATCTAAGAAAGGACTATGATGTCCGGCAGCTTCGTAGTCTATGAAATAAATCGCTGGATCCTGTTTCTTCGGCGAAATCATCACGTTTCCTCCGTGACTATCTCCTAGTCCCAAACAGGCCCACAGTTTTGGTAAAATTTGACCATGAGGATCGAGAATCCGTTCTGCCTTCCTGAAGGACTCCTGAAGCGGGGGATACTCCACGCCATCGATTTTCCAAGGAAGAGCAATGAAATCATCAAACTGTACTGCGTTGTCTCCGCTGAACCCGGGGGTGGTTGGGTAGTAATGTTTAGTGAATTTGACATCATTGTGAAGACGGTCGTAATAGAACTTGTGTATTGGAGAGTCTAGTCCTTCTGGAGCGTCGGCCAAGTCCTTGCCGACCGAGTACAGCGAGCCACATTCATACGCACGACGAATCTCGATATCCACAAACCAGCTAAGGGCATCTCGCGAAGACTTGAAAGAAAAATCTTCACAATTCCTCGTCATCGCATATTCAAGACGGAAGTCATTCAAGGTTTTCCCAGGAATTCTGGTCATAACAAGTGAATTGAGATCGGCATTGTATGCCAAGAGATTTTGAAGCATGCCAGGGGAGATATGAGTGCTTAGCACAGTCAGCATCTTGCGCTCCCATTTTATGGAAGCCGCCGATGACACTTTGACGAAGGCATTTGTCCATTCAGTACCGCCTTTTGTCCTAATATGCGTGAAGTATGATTGTGAATTCGAAGAGAAGGGGCTGGAGATCGTCAGCTCCTCTTTTTTCTCGGAAGTAAACTCGAATTCTCCGGAACCTAGGTCCGGTGGGTTGGTGACAACGGGGATAAGGGGAGTGTTGTCATTCGATTGGATGAAAGTAGGAGGGACTTCAAATAGGAATCGGTTATAGGGTCCTTGTATGTCATTATGTTCACCCAGAACCAACAATGTTCCCGATATCTGGATAGAGGTTTCGTCATCGGCCTCGGAATCCGACTTTTGCGAGACACCTGCGCCGAGACAAATTAACCGACTCATCTCATTCTCCAAATTTTTGCGAAGAGTAGGATAATACGTCTCCGACTTATAGATAGATTTGATTACTTCGTCTAGAGCGTCGGGATTAAGGAGAGGGTCTTGACCAAGCCACTTCACTAGAAGTCGACTACGTGGGGGATCGAGAAATCGGTGAGAGGAGGTGTGGAATAGCAGAACCGATGTGAGGAGCAAATCGCAGGTGACTCCCAAGACTGCATACCGAAGAGACTTTGTCGTTGTCGATGGGTTCTTCAACAGGAAGATATCTCGATCTTGTAATATGGATAAACCCCCTGCTGCACGCCGAGGTTGATGAACCAGGGCCGTCCATCCCAATCTCGGATGGAAACGAGGACAGCAAGGCACGTTTCGGAATGAAGCAACCTTGATGAGATGTGGGGCAGGATCGTTCAAGGCCTGAAGGATGTGATCCAGACTCCAGAGTTTGATAGTACGTTTAGAACCATCCGCAGCGCGACCAGAGAAGCGTATAACATCCCAGGCGTCTTCTTCCACATCGTTATCAACGAGATCCTGTGGGTAATTAGCGGATACGAATGGAAGGCAGCAGGAAGTAATCACCGTCCAGGAATCTCCTGGGGCTTCTTCGTTCACTATATGAAGGAGGGAACAGAGACTTGCGCGAAGCTTGTCATTGACGACAAGTCTCTCGATGTTGCTTCTGGATTGAAGGATGCCTAAACCATCCCAGTCTCTATCGACCTCTTCAGGGAATGATTGAACTTGAAGGCAGTGTGCTCTGCTACCTCCGAGGAGAATAGCGAGGAAACCAAGGCTAGTTGGATCGATAGAGGAGTTTAGGTAAGGCATGTACGTCGTCTGATGGGAGCTTGTGGGGGGAGTGGGGGTTCAATCGTTCACAGTCGGAAGTAAATTTCAACTCCGACTCGTTGAGTTCACATAACCCCTAGCGACAGCAGAGTGTGAGCACGCTGCCTCTGGAAGGACCACTTAATTATTTGCGGGAGGTCGCAACAGGGGTCTAGTGGTGCCCTCACGCTATCTGATTTTGAGTTGGTCATTCAAACGGATCACGATTTGTCTTAGATTCCCACAATTTTCGCTACCGACATGCCGTGGTCATGTCATATGCCATGTGCCAATCAATAACTCTGGCATACTAGTAATTTTTGTATGTGTTCAACATCACAAGTTTCCAATTCCTATTGTATGCTCTAAAGTACATTGTTCTAACCCATGCAGGCTCTCAATGCTTTCAACTTGTTCAATTTGGCCTCTTGCTGTGCCTGTTCTGTCTCCCGCTCAGCTAGCATGAGAGTCTTTGTCTTGGAATAGCCTGCCTCTTTCCCAGTCCAGATGAGCTCGCAGACGGAGTATGAGACGTCGTCTGCTGGAGATTTCGGCGTCTGTGCGACCAATTGTGATCCATGTGTCCGCCAAATCGAGCTGACTCTTCCAAATCCTGTTATCTAGGTCGAGTCTGGCCTCACGCGCACTCTCCTTCAGACAGCTGCTGATTATTGAGGCGCCAGTCCTGATCCAGAAGCTTTTTATCATCGTGAGGCACATTATCCACCAGTAGATCATCGGTCTTGAGGCGCTCCATCTCCAGAAGCCGTGCACGGGTTTGTGCACGGGTTCCACGGCAGACTGCTAATGCTGGTACCTCCGGTCTTTGTCTCCTCAGCTAATGCAGGTGAGAACTTGTTGCTTGACTAAATCCAGCTACGTACTTGCCTTCTCTGCAAATGGCAACTTCCTCGCCATTGGCTGCAAGGACCACCATATATACACATGGGATGTCTCTGCTATTGTCAGAGAAACCAGCCTCGGTCACCTTCTGATAGACAATGTAAGCTTGCATACATTTCATCCCCAATAACATTGACAACGAGTCCTTTCAGGTGGTATGTTGCATCTGGTGACCTGGTCTCTTCGACAGCCTTACTCACTGGTTTTTTCATCACAGAACGCTGTCAACAAGCCATCCATAGATGTATGTTACGTATTCCTTGACACTTTGCATGAATTTGAGCATCTACATCCTAGGTTGATGCTACACGACGACGACGAGCCCCGGACATCGAAGATACTCGTTGCATACCCCAAGGGTTTTTTTACGATGCCGATGTGCGTGACCAATATCTATAATTTATCGGTTCCGCTTCAGCAGTCTGTTTTCAGTTCTCGACTTCGCGCCGTCCTCCATACCACTCCTATGGGCGACACACCGGTGCCCAACATCAATCTCTCCTCGGTCGCTTACCCTCATTCTGGCGCGACCGCCGCTCCCATCCACACGTGGAAAATGGGGACAGCGCCCAACCCCGATCCCGCCCTCTCAGCTAGGCTCGAAATTTCGTACGTGACGTGCTAGTACGCAGACGAGATAGATCACATATCGAGTTGCGAGAGCTACCAGTAGTCGAAGTCCCATGCACAGCGGGCAAGCCTGTACGTTATTTTGTTCCTTACCGCTTCTTTATCACTGACTCATTTTCACGCAGAGGGACTATCACGCGAGGAAGAAGACAGCTGCCCGCTCCTCTCGACCTCCCAATTCTCATACAGTGCAACAACACAACGGAGCAACTCAGAGCCAACCCTTATCGTCGCAGCCGCAGCCTGCTGCCTGCTGCGGTCATGACATCCACGACACTTCCACCAGCCACTCGCACCTCGATAGGAACAACCTCGCGTCCTTATCTCACTATAAGAGACGTTGGGTGGCGCGTTCGTTTTATGGTTTGGGTTTGTTGCATGTCTGTCGAGCACACCGATGTTCAGCATTAGGGAAGCAACATACTTCAGGGCTTCATGGTCATTTTCTGTTGTCTCGTCTACTTAGTATTTTTCCATGGCTCACCTGCACTCCATCATTGGCTCCGCTACAGTTTCAAAATTCTTGTTTATTGCCCTACGCTCCATAGGGCATGGCTACACTTCTTTCATTGTATTGCAGTACACGACACCTCTCAGTTCTTCAGGAGCTTGACTCAGTGCGGTTCGGGTAGCATCCTACTTGTCTCGGTTCATTGCATCTGCAAATGGCAAATCACACCAGGCTACACGTACCTATAACGCCGATCACAGAAGAGATCAGCCCCACTGAGAGTGTTCCAAGGAACGGAAGTTCAACATGTGGAATACCACGTACATGGTCATCGATTTAATATTGAAACATAAGGGAGCAGCGCATAGTGAATCAGGTGAATCATGTTTAAATCAACTTGATCGACGTTGATCGACGTTGTTCAACAGTTGTCGATTAGCAGTGTGCTCCTCGACCCGCACTACTCCACACGGTACTAGTTTGGTGTGACTTGTCTTCCTATCTACCGTGCGGAATCCTGAAATGACAGCGGTCAGAATAACTTTACTCGGCTCCACGCTTAAATATTGGTATGTATTTGATTTCTGAATCGTCGAAGGCCTGGGTTCATTCATCCCATATTCGATAGTGTTTTGCAGTGATTGTGGGTCATGCGATCAGCCCATCCGGAAAGCTGCGGTGACACGAGTTGGACTGATGAGCTCAGTCGCTTAGATCGTCATCAAGGTGCTTATGATAACAATCTCATGTCTGATGGGCGTCTAGTGAGAAATTGATGCTATGACATAAAAAAAGCTCCAGTACATGTATCTTTGCGACTTTGAGCTAGATACCCACAAGCTCCCCACCAAGTCCAACTCAATCGTGCTCCATACGTCAACCTCCAGCAAATGGCACAGCTCATTCCACACACCATACCAGTTCGAGTCTTTGAAGATCATGAAGCACGTGTATCTGCAGTCGCAGTTTTCTCTGATAAACGATGTATGGTCACATGTTCTGACGACAAGATGCTTCGTCTGTGGGACTTAACGACAGGTGTAATGTTGAAGAAGATGGAGGGACATCGCGAGAGGGTACAGGCATTGGCGGTATCACGGGATGGGCGATTTATAGCAAGCGGTGATACCAACGGAGAACTCATTGCATGGGATGGAGAAACTGGCGAACCTCTCGCCCGAACTTTCAGAGCCCACACCGGTTGGATATTATCGCTGGATTTCTCTCCAGATGGCGAAGTACTGGCCAGTGGATCATCATCAGACTCTACGACGATGCTGTGGAGCACAACACCATGGCAGCCGTATGATGGGTATCCAATATTTTGTGGTGAAAATACATTCGTCCGCTGTGTTCGGTATTCGCCATCACAGTCGGAGTCTCTTCTTGCAATTGCAACAGAGCACAATATTCAGATTTACTACACTTCTCATTCCGGCACATTGCACGACAACTACTATTCTTCGAGCCGCTTCCGAGTTGAGTGCCAAAGAACAATCCATGAAGGATACAACTACTCACTCGCGTGGACGCCCGATGGTACACGCCTTCTCTCAGCGGGCGGAGGGGCTGATCCCACCATACGAGAGTGGGATAAATGGTCGACCTCAAAGCAGATCGGTGATCCCTTGAAGCTTAAGGGCCATTTCAAGACGATCCGCGCCATTTCCCTGAACTCTAACGGCACTCTCCTTGCCTCCGCATCTCATGACAATCATGTCCGTCTCTGGCGGCTCTCAGATCGACGAACCATCGCCATATTCAGGCACACTGGTGAGGTGCACTGCGTCGCCTTCTCCGCAGATGACAAGCACATCCTCAGCGGAGGTGCGGATAAGAAGATCTCACAGTGGTCAGCATCCGAGGACGCCTTGTCAGAGGGTGGTACAAAGGATGGTCTCATGAAGGAGCAGGTGACACATCAGGTAGTTCATTTTCATTTTCTCGCCTCTTCGTGATCTCAGTATCTTTTTATGTCAAGGCTCAAGCCTACTCTGATTTCAAGGCATGCTCCCTCCTTCCACTCTGATCACGCAACGAGAACATGCTTCACACAGGTCCTCGCTATTAACTCGACAATCCGCAATGCGTGTATAACTGGGAACTGGCTTGCCGCTGAAAAGGTGCTAAATATAGAGATCGACGATGGTGCCGGCGATCACACCTCCTATGCAAATCGCGCTTTTGTTATGGCGCGAAAAGGCGCCTGGGACCACGCACTTCGTGACGCAATTAAGGCGAGATAGACTGTCCCATCATGGCCACCTTACGAGAGCTAACTTCGATGGTGACATAGTCCCTCAGCATTCAACCCTCGTTGGTAGGGCATATGTCCAAGGGCATTGCCCTCTGCGCAAAAAAGCACGTCCGGGTCGCGAGGATATCATTTGACCTCGCGTCCTTATTCACGAATGGAGATGTAAAGACTGATCATCTACTTTTCTTCATCAAGGCATGTAATATCTTTCTTACGTATTCCATACTTCATTGCGATTTTCAGACCATCGCGCTGTTCAATGCGAATGAACATGAAGAGGCAATGCAGCGCGTCGAAGAGCTGTATATGTGTCCGAATGCCGATCCTCTTGCTTGTCGTATCGTAGAAGTGAGTATCATGCACTCGAACATGCCCACTGGCAGGTTCGCGTGCTGGCACTGATGTTTTTTCCCTTCGCACATCAGGCTTATCTACGCGTCCAACTGGGAAACATTGCCTTGGATGGCGCGCGCCACAACGAAGCTGTGGACCACTTTGCTGCTGCTGTCAACGCTAGTGCTTTCTTTTATAAATTGGAAATTCATTCTATGTATGAGGAATTCACCGTGGTACGTTGATATGTTGTACTGGATATCCTTTTCATACTGAACTGCTATTGTTTGCAGTTGTTCGGCTGGGACCTCAAGTCCTTGTGGCAAACCGCGAACCAGCAACATTGTCATGCACTCTTTAAGGCATGTAGAATTGGGGCAGCCATCGAGTCGTGCCAATCCGTAGTGGAGAAAAGTGATGACTCTGCGAAGGCCAGCTTATGTGCTTGGTTCGCTGGTAAGTATCCAGTAATGTCACCCCTTCTACAATCCTCAACCGCACTTCACTCAGCTCTCAAGCTCCAGTAAGAGAAAAGTGCACTAGATGCTGCATTCGCGGCAAGATGCAGTTTGAAACACAGAGATTCTCGAGTCGTTTTCATTTGCACCTTGGTAGTATCTATATCGTTTGTAATTGTATCATATACTGGCGGATATCTACTACAATGCTTATACACACCGTTCGATGTGTGCCATTCACCGTCGCTTCATCGAAGTTCACCTTCTGACCACCTCCGATCAAGAGCTTGTACATGTTCCTTCCATCCCTCCACTCGAATTGGACTGCCAAGTACTGCGATTCCCAGACTTTGTACCAGTGTCGCCTCTTCATTGGTTGTCTACGCATAGTTCTCGATTTCGATCTCTGTCCGATTAAACACAAATATATGGGCTGTGCGAGCGGTGTACGACGACTTTCTATTGTCGTGGTAAGCTCTGATACCATGCTACCGACCACCGATTGCAGTCAACCGGCCGTCAAAGCAACTATGTAATCGATCCCATAAATACAATCCTTGCATCAATATTTGTGCTGTCGCGATCATTCGAAGTACTGGTGAATAAAAAAATACCAATACCATAGCTACCTATCGATCACCAATACGCACATTAATACTCATGCATGCAGGTCTGCAGACCAACGCATATCTATCGTTTTTCGCCCTTAGTACGTGATTGTTATCGGTGGTGTTGGTTGTGGCGATGCGGCGCTACATTCTCGATCTAATCTTATCACTGATATCGCGATCCAAACGCGTACACGACGCGTCTGACACGACTTAAGAATCACCACAACAGTACTCATGTCGAACTCAAAGCGCGGTGCATTCATCGTCATAGAAGGATTAGACAGATCCGGGAAAAGCACTCAAGCCTCTCTCCTCCACGAACGCCTGCAGGACTCGCAAGATGGCACAATACCAAAGGTAGTCCTGCTCAAATTCCCTGGTACATTCTAATCCATGTCCTCGCCGCAAATATCACACTCAATACATATCTACCCCCAGATCGCACGACAGCCATAGGGAAAATGATTGACGCGTACCTCCGTTCCGAGTCCGAGCTGGACGACCGTGCTATCCACCTGCTCTTCTCTGCTAACCGCTGGGAACTTGCGTGCGCACATTCACTATCTTTTCCATGTGTCGTTCCATGACGCTATTTCTATTTATTTGGACACAGATCCATGATAACAGCTCATCTAGCAGAAGGGACCACCGTCCTCGCTGACCGATATGCATTCTCTGGTATCGCGTTTTCAGCTCGTAAGGGACTACCGTATGAATGGTGTCGCGCTCCCGAGGTCGGACTCCCTGCGCCAGACATTACCCTATTCCTCAACATCAGTCCAAAAGTCGCAGCCGCGAGGGGTGGGTATGGGTTGGAGAGGTATGAGAAAGAGGAAGTACAGAAAGGCGTGAGGCAGGTATTTGATAAAATTGGACAGGCAATGCGAGAAGAGGGCAAGGGAAAGTGGGTGGAGATTGATGCAGGGAAGAGCAAAGAAGAAGTTGCGGAAGAGCTTTGGAGAGCGGTTCAGCCGCTCGTCAGTGTGGTTGATGGACCCATCAGTAAACTCTGGGAAACAACACTGGGGGGCGGGAGTTGAACACACTGCCTTGTAGAGTATCGTAAGATGCGGAGACAGGAAAATACGAGCGAATTTTACGAGTGGGCGCTGACATCTGATGAAGTTAGAAATAGCAGGTGAAAAGTCGGGTTATTACTTCAATGATGAAACATAAAGGTGTGATGAGTATGTATCCGACATACATACATGATACAATTGGTCCATATCTTTAATTGTTATCCAATCATGAAGAAAAATGCGAAAGAAGAAAAGTTATGGCACAGTGTAGCTCCCAGCCCCCGATATATGTCAAGGGCTCGACGATAGCCGCGAGACAATGACCGCGAACGCAATCAGCACTCCCCATCTCCACTTCTCCCATAAAACCTGTCGCAACGGCCCTGTCCACCCCTGCGGCGTCGTTGTTGGCTTGTTTGTAGATGCCAAGCTACTATTACTTACGACATCGCTCGCATTTGACGTCGTCGTGGTGGCGGGAGCCTGTGCCACCGGTCGTCTATCACACACCTGCGACGGATGTGTCGCTGTGGTAGATCGTGAGATAGAGGGAGAAAACGGACTAGGGTTATTCGTCATGGGTGAAGTGGGCGTGACCGCCGTATCTGGTTTCCCTCGCTCCCGTTCACCCATATTTGGTAGGTCTCGAAGCGTATCCGTACAGTACTGCGGAAAGTGCGGAAGTGATCAGCAACTCAGGCACAAGTTGACAACAGTGGAAACGAATGGCTTTCAGGATGCTGGATATGACACCCTGATCCGAATGAAGCGGTAATCATGCCCCTGTCGGGCTTCTCGCATTATGGAGAAGAGATTTGGGATATGACACTCACATCTGGGAAAGCTTCTCTGAATCTTGGTTGGTTCAAGTTATGGGAGTGACTGCGCGCAGCATAGGCTCGTTTATGGCCATCTGAAGACGTCACTGAGCCGGTGGTCATCTCATCAGAGAGCATGAACGATAATAATCCTGTGAGTCTAAATGTATCTTGATGAGTAAGCGCCCGAGCGGGTATGACGGCCAGAGTCGGTAAACAAAAAAGACGACGATCGTGAGCATCAAATATCACAATTGTTATCAATTATGTCGATACTCGGAGAAGAAAAAGAGACCGGGTCGTTGAAAATTAAACTATATGGCACTCACATCGTGGCGACACTCCAGGCGGGATTCCACTAATGACGACTTAGTGATGATGACTTTTGAAATAGTTGAACAGGACGCACAGTACCGGGATGGAAATCAGACATGGAGAAACAAATCTTTTTGTCTGGTTGGAATCGGCCGGAAGGGGTGAACATCTATTGCATCATATTCATCATAAATCGTTGAAGATAATGATCGTGAAAGCCAAGAGAGCATACCTTGATACCCGGAGGCTTGAATGGATATTCCGCAGGGAAAATGAGTACGCCGTGGTACTCTCCGCCAGTAAAAGGCGAATCAGGAGGGCCGCGCTGGACAACACAAGCGTTCAACAATAATAGTGGCCCAGGCCACTCAAATTACGCACGATAAGGTAATTCCCTGTATAAAACACTTCAAAGGTATGCTTTTGTATGGAGGAGATCGAAACTCACAAGTCAAGATATTCTTTTCATCCGGTGTAGCCCAAACAAATGGGGGCGGCTCTTTCTGCATGCTCACATACTCCTTGGCAAGCTGAATTTGGACTTATCAGCGACATCTTCAAAGGTAAATTTGGACTCGTACACGTTTGTGGGCTGCTTTACTTGCCATGATTGCGGGGTCGATGGGGGCTGTGGAGAGTGGAGGAGTCGTGGATGAGAGCCTGCGGGCGGCTTATACTGGCTGGCAAACCACTCGGCACACACAACAAATAAGTGCAAATATCCCGAACAATCTCCCTTTGCCAGGGTTAAGGTTATAACAGCAGGTTTTTGACTGGTTGTGAACTTGTGATTCGCATGTATAACTTACCCTGTGCCAGCTGGCAACCTTTAACACCTCTAACAGGCTCTAACTTGGTGTCTATGCCCTGCTTCTTCGCACAAATAGGAAACTGACGCAAAGGTCCGTACGTGGCCCTTGCAGATTTGTGCCTGACGACCACTACCCAAGTGGCGTTCCTATGTGGCATTTGTAGGAGTCATGGAAATGCCGCGGACATCATTGGTGCGCTTTGAAGAAAAGAGATTTATATGGTGTAATACTCATATACTACGTCATGAAGATTTAGTGGCTTGATATGGGGGTCAGGAATATGCCAGGCCAGTAAAATCTCTTCCCGATTGCTTAATAGTTGATCCTATCAAACTGTTGTACACATTTTGTAACAGGGCCCAGGCTTTCTGCCGCTCTCTGTGGCCGATGTTTCATGAAGACGACATTGCATCCGGGTATCCCCTGGCCAACTCGCAGGCCTGGCATACTTGACGAGTATCATCGTTATACAGCGTTCAGCTCGCACAAAGCAGCCTCGCTACTTGCAACTTCGTGCTATGACATCACCACAAAATTCGATTTAACAACGTTCAAACTGTACACCTCTCCTTCATTGGTAAAACCAGTATACATGAATTCCGAAGGAACACCACTGAATTGATACATGGCAGGAAGTGCTTAGCACTTGCACTCTCCCGGCTTGCATTGGCATCTGCATATTCTGAATCAGACTACGTGCATACGAACCAAAGACACAGTCACTTACGCGTCGCCGCACCCACAGGCAGGTTTGTCGTTGTGAGAAACAGGGACTTCAGCGACCTGCGAAAGCAAGATTAGACAGCGAAGTGCCTGCAAGAAATCGGCGTACCGTGAACATATTGGATGGTTTGATGTTGGGTTATTGTTAAAGGTCTTTAGATTTGTGCTGAATTACGAACGATGCGAGGAGGGTCCTTTATACTTTCGGTGTGTATGGTCTTGTTGGCATTTTCTCAAACACGATGTCCGTTTTCTCGGCTCACTTTCTTTCCTGAGGTGGATGATCATTGATTGGATCTACCACTGCCCACCATCATCCATCTAATCGCGCAAATGCCGCGATGATCCATCAATCCATCGATTACCTCACGAGTTCGCTCTCCAATAATTGACTCATATAGCGAACGTGTTAACTTGTTTGAGTGATCTAGTCTTATCCTAGCCTACTTCTCGGGTGATCATAAGATGCTCCGGAACCAACCCAGTGGGAACTGCACTGTCCTTCCACGGAAGGGACTTGAGGTTCCAGCCAGTCTTTGTGACTGTTTTTGCAAGTTCATATCTTATATGGGATTGCCATCTCCACATGACTGGGAGCAGCCGAGTTGTTGACGCCACCACGAACTGATCCAACAATTCTATTTTAATATGTAAGTACGTGAGAGCATCCACTAGGAGCATCGAGTTGACCGCATATTGTGTAACTATTATCGTGTCTTGAGGTAGCAGCAGAGTACTACCGTGGTTCGAATTTTTCTCGTTTGGGTGCACTGCACATTACTATGGTCGCAATTCAACCTCGTCAACTGGGTAGGAACATACCGCAACGTTCATATAACTTTGAGCACTCAGTATATATGGAAGTGCTGGATGGCCAGGAAGCACGATTTAAATGCCAAAGAGAGAAGTGGAAAAACGTCTGAGCTTTAGATCAGTGTCAAGCACCTCGCAGACAACTAGACTCGCTACGTCGACCTGAGATGACAAACGTCGAATTCCGCGCCCGAGTTGCAAACACCAGGAAACTACTGTACGGCAATTGAATAAAGACTATACATAGTACAATGACACTATTACATGCAAAAAATCTAGGTGATTCGATCACTACAAACGATATCAAGGAGACTGCAACCTGTGCCAAGCCCTCAGAAAACCATCATATCACCCACTGACCAGTTTCTTGCCGTTCCTCTTTCCCTCTTTGTTGAATACATCACCAAACTGAACTATGAGGTCCTCTATTTTGTCTGTCTGGCTTATATCAAGTTCACGAAGCTGTCCTTCGAGTCCTCCGCCAGACGCGGCGGTGATGAGATAAAGGGGGTCAAAAAAGTCGAAAGATCGATCGGAGGGAGAGTATCTTTCTTGGGTGATGCTGTACAAGGCTGCCAACATGGTAGCTCCCCAGACCATGGTGATCACCACAAGGCAGATAGATAAATGTACGGCTATGGCTTCGCCAGCCGTAGGTCGTGATATACATCATACCACTCGTTGATCGGGTCATATCCGACTGAAATGTTTCCCGCAGTGTACCCGGAGCGAAGTTGCTAGATGCAGGTTTTAATAATATTCATGGAAGGTATGAAGATCACTTACAGTAGAGGCGAACTCCGTGATACCGCGCCAGTAATCTTCCTGTAACGTAATCAGCCATGTCGATGCAAGGGGAGCGGAGACAGTCACCAGTTCCCTGTACATATCTGATACATCGCCGTTGTCGTACGCGGTCAAAAAGTCGCCAATTGTATTCTTCGTCAGGGCTTGGTTGGTCCCCGCTTGATAAGCCATCACAGTCGCGATGTACTGGGATAAAGGAAAAGTTGGACTCTCTGTCAAGCCAGAAGATGTAGCAACCCGTTCGACAAATATGATGCCTCCATTATAAGTGACGTTGACTGTAGTCAGGTAGGGAACGACCTCGCAAACAATCGTTGGCAGGAAGTCATACTTGTACAAGCCAGACATAAAAACACCTGCAAGGACATTACTCGCAAGATACGAGTCGGAATGTAGCAAGAACCATACCAAAGTTATATGCGTTGAATGATGTCGATTGTGGGCTGGGGCATACAACAACGGGTAGAAATCCCGTGGATGCGGGGTCCATCTGACCACTCGCGTTGCCGGCGGTGAAGTAGGGTAGCGAGTTTACATCTTAAGCTGATAAGATGGCGGACGAGTCCAATGGCAAAGATGAACGCACTTCCTGAACAATTTGCAACGGTTTCCCACGTCAAGAACGAGTTATTCAACGGTCCTTGCGTCGGTGTTGAGAAAGTACTGAATGAATTTTTGCTGTGGTTCATCGGTTGGCATGTAACATCTGCTGTGACACCTTGTTGTGTAACAGTGTAGTTCTTCGCAATGCCGTGAGTGCCTGCCTCGCCCCAGTGGCGCTCCCAGTCAAAAATGGAATTGACTGGTACTCGTCCCCCAGAGAACGCCAAGCCAACTCCAGAAGGCAGATTTGATGCTCCAGAGTATTCCTCGATCGCAGGAAGAATTCCACCTTTCAAGTTTCAAATCAGCCGATGATCTTTAACTGCAGAGTACTCACCAGTCGACCGATTGTACGAAACTCCGTTGAAGCTGAAAATACTACTCGTTTGCATGCCTCCTTCAACGTTAACCGCAGCAATACCACTGAGAAGAGTCAAGACATTGATAGTTTCGAACGCAGGAGCTTGCACTGAAATTGCTCCTCGTGAGCACCCCCACCGTTGCTGTCCCGTTGAAAATGAAGCATTTACATACCACCATTCCCTTGCGGGGTATTAAGGTCCACGCTCAGCTGGTTTGCAAATGCGATGGATCCCAAGTCAAGTTCCGTTCCGGACATTGGCACAGGCCAACGAACAATGGTAGGCAGGAGTAAAGTGCTCCAACTGTGCAAAACAGTGTCAAGAAGCTCAGCTGGGGCCATTGAAAATAGTGCAGACCTCGAGCTCAGAAATGTGATCACCGCATAAACTGCCAGTGTGAGGACCGACAGCTTCAGGTATTTCCATCGCCATGCCTTGGTCGGTCCAGTTAGCGCTATTGCAGCGCGAAGCTTGAACAGTGTAATCGGCCCTGAGAGTGCGAGGTGATGCCGAAGCGCTTCTTTCACAGCATATGTGAAGAGCCTGTGCAATAACAGGAGGTTAAGACGTCAGACTTCACATATAGAGGAGGTCGCACATCGAAGTGATGATCGACAAGGCAGTTGAGATCAGCGTAACTATCAAGGTCAACACGGTCGGATACTCTACGATCAGATGGACGATATGATCAGGTAAGACGAGAACGGTTCCGAATACGAGTGCTCCGGTGAAGCCCCATGCAAAGCCCAGGATCACGGTCTGAGCAAAGATAGTCAAGAGAAGCAGCTGAGTGGGACTGAAGTGCTGCGAGAAAACCTGATCAACAAGGTCCTGAGGAACAATGGAAGTGGCTCACGATTTTGAGGTTTATAGAGGCCATTTGCAAGCTAGAAGTGCGGTATGGAGGTGGGTGTATCTGTCAATCTTAAGTCTCGCAGTTGGGCGCTACAAGCTCAGTGCATGTGTACCACAGCAGGCGAGAAGCAATGGAGCATATTAGGTCTAATACGATACACCAGGCTCCTGCCACCTATGAAGAGGCGCTCGGAAGCAACGAAGCGACTTCCTCGCAGAATTAAAGAGGCTGCTTACCACCCTTTTGGAGCACTAGTACGTATGCCCAGTATGCTGCTCAGGGTCCCCCTTGTGGGTAAACTCTTCAACCATGGAGCAATGAAGCGAATGAGGTCTAGTTATTTTCTCTGTACGCAACAAACATAATGAAAAGCGGCTGCTTACCACCTGTTTGCCCGAGGTCGTAACGTCAAGTCGACAATATTGGCATTTCATAATTGAGCTCACAGTCTACTTGTTTCCCTCTTTACGTTTGGCCTCATTTCTTCCATATTCGAATAAGCGCTTGAACTTCAAATTAGTTGAACTTTGTTTCTTCTTTCCTAGTCAGAAGGCGTGCACCCGTGTTATCGTGTATCAATAGACGCGCGCCGAGAAAGCGGTGGTAGGTTGGTCGTGTCTCCTCATGTTTTCCGGCGTGCTGTACGAAGGCGGTACCCGGGCCCAAGAGGTGCGATGAAAAGAATCGATCTGTAAATTTCTGGCAGGGAGGCAGATCCGATAGAAGGAAGACACTGGATTAGTAATTTAGGGAGGGGAGGGGGCAGTTTTCGTGAGTCGTGACCGCTACATAAACTTCAATTATAGATTACGTCCTAACCGACTCGGATGCAGATAAGTTCCTCCCTGACCCTCTGAGTCGCATCTCGTTACATAAGTACTGCACTCAGTCACTTTGGTTCTTCTCTGGATCATGATCATCGATGCGTGGGGCTGCCGGCGCCAAACTACTAGGGCAGAGTCAACCAGGTGAGGGAAATGTACTACACACACTAGTTTGACAATGGTGAGGCTGTAATTCCTCGACCCGCACACAGAAAGTGCTCTGTGTCACGGCCCACACTCTGACAGTTCCTGGGAGCTCGGAGCTGGCCCTTAGACTTGAGTCCTACTCGGGACGGCGCATGGAGCCATCAATGCTCAGTAAACAGATGTGCAAGTCACTGACCATGGTTCCGGCATGCACAGGGTGGCAGGTATGATCTCTATATGAAGATAAGGTGGAAGCGACACGCCTAGTAGAAGACGCCCGAGTCTCCTGTGCATGTCATAACTTATATTGCGTACTTGCGCTTACTGTTTTTTTTCCAACACAGGAACATGCATTGTCTTCCTTCCAATTAACGCCCGGGTGGAAGCGAACGGGGTCTTTTCATTTGGCGCTTGTACAATTGTCATGCCGTGCCTTCAAGCTGCCTACATGCGCAACCCAGCTAAAGGGTTTTATAAACTTGGACGGACGTTCGAGTGAGTACTAGTCTCCTTCCTCCGTTCTTTCCGAGCAGTTGTTATCATGCACCTTTTACTGTACTTTTGGCTTTTAACCTCGATCTGCTCATGTCTGGCTGCAGCTTCCTCAAGGACGTTCACCAAGAAAGGTAACAGCTCTTTCGTGAGCTCTAGTACAGATGGATTTTCTACCAACGGAAGGTAAGAACAATCGCTTTTATCAGTACGTGGAGTGCAAACGCATTGCACCAACAGCTCGCTTAGATTCATTGGGACCAACTTGTACTGGCTGCCGACGTTGGAATCGAATGATGACATCTGGAATGTCCTGAAGAACATCTCCGATACCGGGATCAAGGTCATCAGGATTTGGGCATTCAACGGTCCGTTCATTGCCTGTCTACTGAGTTTTACAGTATGGTAACGTGATTGACAGACGTAGAAACCATTCCGGAGAGTGGAACGTGGTTTCAATTGGTACAAAATGGCACTACCACGATCAACGACGGACCGACTGGGCTTCAGAAACTCGATACAGTCGTTCAAATGGCAGAACAGCAAGGACTATACGTCATTATGTCACTGACGAATAACTGGAACCCGAGACCTAACACAACCACCGGTAATTCCTCGTCTCAGTTGCTTGCGTCTGTTACTCTGCCGCGTAACACTCTTTCCAATGACTATGGTAAGCCAACATTACACTTGGTGTTCAATCAAACTTTAGACAAATTGCCACTCTTACAGGCGGGATGGATCTCTATGTCCGCCAGTTCGCACTTCAGAATCACGACGACTTTTTCACGAACAACAAAATATTGACCGCCTTCCAGAATTACACTAAGCAGATCGTATTACGCTATGTCAACAGCCCTGCTGTGTTCAGCTGGGAGCTTGCGAATGATGCCAGGTAATCCACTCTCGGCTATTTACCGCTTTTAGAACGTTCATTCACCATCTATAGATGCAACTCGACTATGCCCACTAGTGCAACATGCACTACACAAACCATCACGAAGTGGCACGCTACGATGGCCGAATTTATTGCGTCCCTCGATCCCAACCACATCGTCTCCGCCGGGTAGGTCTTATACGATATCGCTTTAGGGTTGTGGTTCTCAATTTTTCTAGAACATCTGGATTCCAGTGCGCAGACTGTCCGAAGTTGTACCCAATTACACCAACAGCTTCAGCTGCGCCATCTCCCGCACCTGGCAAGAAGCGCAGCAGTGTCACTCCTTTAACAAACGAGCAGGTCACGAAGCAGCGTGCTGAGTCGAGACGCCGCAATCGGGCAGCCGCTAAGCGTGCAGGAACCCTGAAGGAAGACGGGGTCATGATAAGGGGTCACTGGGTATCTACAGGTACTTTGGTTTATGTCATCGAACTACAAATTTTCTGATCATTTTTCAGCAACACGAGAAGTCTCCAGCTCGATCGACTCCACAATGGATGGTTCATCTGGTGTTGACAGCCAGGACATCCTTAATATCCCCAACATAGGCTTCGGTTCCTTCCAAATATTTCCAGACCAGGATTCGTACGGTCCCGATGACCCAAACCTTGGCCCTGTCCAAAACAAAATTAACTCGGGTCTTGCGTGGATCCAGCAATCGGCTCAATCTGCCAACGCGTCAGTTAAAGTTGCATGTATCAGACGGTGACTGATTCCTATTTCTTTCAGTGTTGGGAAGCCTGTTGTCCTCAACGGCTTCGGTCTAGTCACTCAAGACAATTTGAACAACTTCGTCCCGTTCAACATGACTTATGCCCCTTACGTATCCAGTACAGGTAGTGTTGTCGCATTTCAACTCTGTCAACAGTAATGAACTCACGTTCTCATCCCTGCAGCGGTCATGGCCGTTACCAACGCGACGACAAATTTTGCTAATAGCACGCAGCAACAACAGGGTTACAGCTCGTTTTTGGACAGTACGTTAAAACCAAGTGACAATGTCCAACTATACTAAACTCTCATGTAGTGGGCAACAGCGCTGGGTTGGCAGGCATAATGCAGTACCAGGTCAATATTTCCCTTCCTTGTGATGAATTCGACTGACGGTTGTTGTAGTGGGGCTCCACCGGCATTACCCAGTCAAGCGCTGCCACCCAGTTAGACACAACCAACTCCTCGACGATGGGGGTGTCGCCTAATGATGGTTACTCCATGTACGCATTCCCTTATGACATCAGTAGACACCCCAACTGATTGATGCTTGTAGTGCCAACAATACAGCCGTTCAACAAATCCTGAAGCAGCACGCGCAGGCGATGGCTGGAGATTCTTGAGGACTGTAATGAAGTGCTTGTTTAGTGAAGGACTTCTTTTTCTTCCTTTTTGTCTTGATTCCTTTGCTCTAAGGACACTGTTGTTTTATATATATATCGGCCATCTGTTTCCCGCATTTGATACGTGCGTCCTCGAGGTTGAGTCAGATTGGACACATTATTTGGATTAGTTTGGGTGTGATTACTAGATTTTGTTAGTGGCTTCCTTAAAGCTAAGTAACGGTAAAACGAGACTGTAGCGAGATTTGATCGGGGCGTCTGGTGTCGTCGAGGCCGCTGCTTATGTAAACGGTGGATTGTCTGGGAGGGCTGGCTTGGCAGGGAACTAGAAGCCTATCAGTGTGCATCACTGCACAATGCACATGTAGGTAGTTAATATAGTTACTTTTTGCCGTCGTCGTCGTCAACTCTGCCCGTTAGAATTTACACATTGTTTCATGACCGAAAAGTGTAGCTCTGAAAATAGCTCCCTTGCCTATTACTGATCTGGCTGGCAATACCTGCTGGTGGAACCTTACGGGTCCGGATCCGTTTTTGACCCTGGATTTGCTCTAGCCTGAGACAGCCATTGTTACCAGTCCTTTGACTTGATCAGCTTGTGTTGGTCGAAACGATTGGGACCTCCTCCTGATTAGTACCCTTGCAAGGTGTTTGAGGCCGACAGAAGTCCCAATCGTAACTCTTTAACCCCTTTTTCTTCGTCTTCTGCCGGTGGGTCATCCACGCTTGCACTGAGTTTTCCACTTCTTTGCCAGGCATTACCTTAGAGCCTGAGCCCAAGTTTGGCAGCTGAACCAGAGTTCTCCCTCACTCCTCCGCTGGCGACGGCCGATTGTCACAGCTCGCTAGAGAAAGCGTATATAATTGTTTAGCTGGTTGTTCGATTTAAGTACATTTTCTATTTTCACGCTCTTCGCGAGGCCTTGTCAGCAACCTATCGTCCCCAACTTGCCTAGACTATTAGTGGTCAACTTGTTTCTTGGTCTCACGGCAGCTACCCTTGTTGATCACATAGTTCGGCCATGTTATGGCATCTTCATCTTCTCTCCCAACATGAGGAATGCATGCGTAGTTAGAGTGAGTCCCCTTCCGCCCTAATTTTGGCACTGTAAAGACAGAAAGTCTCCTGACACTACCTCTCATCAATGTAACGTATAGGTTTGCTCATTTCCTCACACCCACATGGGGGTACGGGTCTGTATGGTATGGCTGGGGATCTGAAGGCGCATAGGTAGCCCGGATACAACACGTCTAGTAATTCAATCGCTACAAACAATATCAAGGGACCGCAATCTGTGACAGGGGCTCCGAAGATCATCATATCATGACACACTGACTAGTTTCCTCCTCTTTCCGTCCTTTTCATCCACAACAAACCGAACTGGGATGTCCTCGCTTCTGTCTTCCTGGTTCAAATTCATATTACGAAGTTGTCCTTCGAGTCCTCCGCCAGACGCGGCCATGATGAGATGAACGGGGTCAGAGAAGTCGAAAGATGGATCGGAGGGATGGTATCTTTCTTGGATGAGGCTGTACACGGCTGCCAACACAGTGGTTCCCCAGATCATGGTGATCACTACAAGCAGAAGGATAAATGTGCGGTTTTGGCTATGCCAGCCGTAGGTAGTGATATACATCGTGCCGTTCGTTGATCTTGTCATGTCCGACGACGGGTTTCCCGCAGCGGAGTACCCAGAGCGAAGTTGCTACGTGCAGGTTTCAATAATATTCATGGAAGACATGGAGGTCGCTCACAGTAGAGGCGAACTCTGCAATACCACGCCAGTAGTCCTCCTGCAAAGTAATCAGCCATGCTAATGCGAGAGGGCGCGGAAATAGTCACCAGTTCGCTGTACATATCTGTTACATTAGTGTTGCCGTACGCGGTCAAGAAGTCACCAATTGTATTCTTCGTCAGGGCTTGGTTCGACCCCGCCTCATAATCCATCACAGTCGCGATGTACTGCGATAAAGGAAGAATTGGATTCTCTGTCAAGCCAGAAGATGTACCAACGGGATTGACAGATACGATGCCTCCATTATAATCGACGTTGACTGTTGTCAGGTAGGGAACGACCTCGCAAACGGTCGTCGGCAGGAAGCTGTACTTGTACAAGCCAGACATGAAAATTTCTGCAAGGAAATTACTCGCATGGCGATGAGAATGTAGCGAGAACCATACCAAACTTATATGGGTTGAACGATGTCGAGTCCGATGGGCTGGGGCATACAACAACGGGAAGAAATCCCGTGGTTGCAGGATCCATCTGGCCACTCCCGTTTCCGGCAGTGAAGTAGGTCATCGAGTTTAGATCTGAAGCTGATAAGATGGCGCACGAGTCCATGGCAAAGATGAACGCACTTCCTGAACAATTCACAACGGCTTCCCACGTCAAGAACGTGTTTCCAGACGTTCCTTGTGTCGCTGCTGGGGTGACAGTGAATGAATTTTTACTGCGGTCGATCGGCTGGCATGTAACATCTGCTGTGACACCTTGTTGTGTAACAGTGTAGTTCTTTCCAATGCCTCGAGTGCCTGAATAGTTCCCGTGGCGCCCCCAGTTAAAAGTAGAATTGACTGGTACTTTGCCCCCAGAGAACGCCAGATTAACGTCGGAAGTCGGGTTTGACGATCCAGAGTACTCCGCTATCGCAGGGAGAACTCCACCTTTCAAATGTCAAATTAGCCCATGAGCTTGAACTCTAGAAGTACTCACCAGTCGACTGATTGTACGAAACTCCGTTGAAGCTGAAAATACTGCTCGTTTGTACACCTCCTTCAACGCCAACAGCAGCAATACCACTGAGGAGAGTCAAGACATTGATAGTTTGAAACGCAGGTGCTTGTACTGGAATAATTCCCTTTGAGTCCCACTGTTGATGTTTCATTGAGAATGAATCATTTACGTACCGCTATTGCTTTGATTAGTAGCGAGGTCCGAGCTCAACTGGTTCGCAAATACAACGGATCCCAGGTCCAGTTCTGTTCCGGACATCGGTACAGGCCATTGAACAAGGGTAGGCAGGAGTAAAGTGCTCCAACTGTAAAACAAAAGAGTATCGACAATTGTCAAAAAACTTTACTGGGGTCATTGAAAATAGTGCAGACCTTGTGTCTAGAAATGTGACTACTGCATAAACTGCGAATGTCAGGGCCGACAGCTTCGGTGATCTCCATCGCAATACCCAAGTCGGCCTACTGAGCGCTATTGCGGTGCGAAGCCTGAACAGTGTAATGGGCCCTGAGAGGTGGTGCCGAAGAGCTTCTTTTAGGGCAAATGTGAAGAACCTGAGCAATAACAGAATGGTAAGACTTCGGAATACAGATAGAGGGAGCCGCACATCGAAGTAATGATCGACAAGGCAGTTGAGATCAGCGTGACTATCAGGGTCAACACGGTCGGATACTCTACGATTAGATGAACTATACGATCAGGCAACGCCAAAACGTCTTCGAACAAGAGTCCTCCGGTGAAGCCCCATGCAAAACCTAAGATCACAGTCTGACCGAAGATAGTGAAGAGGAGCAGCTTAGTGGAACTAATGTGCTGCGAGAAAATCTGATCAATGAGGTCTTGGGGAGTAACAGAGGTGGGGCTCACGATTTTCACATTTGCGAAGAGCATTTCGAAGACAGAGGCGTGGAATGAGGCAGGAACTACTCTGTTGATATTAAGTGCCGCTGCAGGGCGCTACTACATAGTTCAATGCATGTGTATCACGGAAGGCGAGAAGCGATTAAGCGAATTAGGTCTAAGTACTGGCTGCCACCTGTAAAGAAGCGCTAAGAATTTTAGTAAGAAGCGACAAACTAACTTCCTCGTAGAATCAAAGAGGCTGCTTACCGCCCGTTTGGACCATGGTCTAATATATACGTATGCCCGGCTGTATGTTGCTCAGGATTCTCCTGTGCGTAAACCATTCAACCATGAGCAAAGCCCGAAGGACGGAAAGATGAGGCGATACGACCAACCCACCGCCGATTTTGTTTAATACATAAAACACGTTGAAATGATTGGCGCGCACATTCTGATAAGCAAAAAGCAAACCCAGCTTAATCGGATATGAAAGAAATGAAGTCAAACGTAATGATGGAACCAATAGCTGGGCTCGCTTCGCGCTTCATGACCTTTACATATCTTACGAATCACGATGCAGCGTCGTTCAAAAAATGCTTCGCTTCAACAAACTCCGGGGCCGGGACAGCCGAAGCACTGCGATGGCTATTCGGGATTGAGAAGAAAGTCAAGGCTGGTCGACTCCGAACTTGTTCGAGTGCCCTACGGGGCCCATTCAGCATGATTGGAACCAAAGACGATAACAATGCACTTGCATCCGATACCAAAGCTCTTCGGCACTCAATTCCCGTACAGTATGTCAGGAGGGAGTGAGTACTACATAAACTGGAGAAATAAGAAACCACACCGAAAGGATCACAACCAGTGGCAGGTGCTCCGAAGATCATACTAAGTTATTACACACTGACTAGTTTCTTGATTTCCTTCCCTCTTCGTTTAATCCATCAACAAATGGAACTTTGATGTCCTCGGTATCGTCTGCCTGTTTTCTGTTGCCTTTACGAAGCTGTCCTTCGAGTCCTCCGTCAGACGCAGCGATGATAAAATGAATGGGGTCAGAAAAATCCAAAGTTGGATCGGAGGCATTGTATCTTTCTTGGTTATGGTGATCAGCACAAGTAGAAAGATGAATGTGTGGATTCGTCAGCCGCAGATTGTGATATACATCGTGCCGCTCGTCGATCTTGTCATATTCGATGGAATGTCTCCCGTAGCAGAGTATCTAGAGCGAAGTTGCTTGCTAGATACCGATTTCAGTAACACTCAGGGATTCCAGGCACGAAGGTCACAGTAGCGGAAAACTCCGTGATACAACAGTAATCTTGCTGCAAAATGATCAGCCATGTTGAAGCGAAAATAATCACCGGTTCGCTGTATGTAGGCTTCGCGTTTTTAAGGAGTCAACTTGATGTATTCATCAATGTCATCCGAAGATGATTAACTGCCACGTCAGCGACTGTGAACAGGAAACACCACATCAGCAACAAGATCATTGGTAATGAAAGCAATACAAAGTAGGAGAGACGTTACGAAGGAAAGATAATGACAACATAAGTCACGGAGGAGCAAGCATGTGCGGAGGTTGAGGCTGTTATATACCGCTCAATGATGGCTGCAACATTAAACTGAAGCGAACATGTCGAGTAGAGTCTGGGGTTTTTTTGTCGTGAATGCCGTGAGGGTGTTCGGACTTTGTTTGCTCAGGGTTTGAACTTTGAAGTTGTTAGAAGGAACCGAGAAAGGTTCGAGTGATAACAGGGTACCGGAAACCGCTCCCCCGCTCCCACCCTTTCGAGTCCCTTCCCCTTCCTGGATCCCCTTGCACTCGCCCCACTCGCTCTTGCCGAGTCTTGTAAATGCACCAAGCGCAAGTGAAAACCGCCCCCGACACCTTGCCTCGGACTCGGAGGCTCGCTACCTCATTACGTTCTTACGTTGCTACCCTGTATGTAGTATGTACCCTATTTTCGCGGGAACCGAACTACTTCAAGTTCGACACCGGTAACAGGCTCACTTTTTTCGACTCGTACTTACCCGTAGAGTTCGATCTATAGTGTACTCTACATGCACTGCCAGGAAGGTGAGCATTTAGTGTCGATTGTGAACTTTCTGAGCATTATACTGCAGCAATTGAAACAAACAACCATGCATGGGAGCGTCTGGTCAAAACTGCAGTGCAGCCTGCCATATACAACGCTGAACCACGAGCACGGTCTCCATGTCTTGAAAACACGCGGTCCACCATTCTGAGGAGCATCCAGCAGATAGTGGATGAGAGAAGCCAGAAAAATATATGGTTGCACGGATTTCCAGGCTCAGGCAAGACGTCCATCTTGTTCACGATTGCGGACGAGCTACGGGAACAAGGACGTCTTGCAGGAACTTTTTTCTTCTCGCGCAACAGTGTGGATGCAACGATGTGTGGTTATGTGATACCAACCCTTGCCTACCAGTTAGCCCTTGCATTCCCGTCGGTGAAAAGCGACATCATCAGAACCATCGCTGATGATCCTGCGTTACTATCAGATCTGAAAGCTCGAAAGGATCAGATCCAGAGTCTCATCGTCAAGCATCTTTGGAAACTCCAATTCAGGTCTCCTTTGGCATTCATCATTGATGCTTTGGATGAATCCTGTTGCCACCTCGAGGCTTTGCGGGTGGCACGCCTACTAGTGGAGGCCATACGTGCCTATAAGGTTCTTGAAGACAAGCCACTCAACGCCCACATCATTCTAGCTAGCCGACCCGGCCTGCACTTCAATGATGTGGCCACTGGAAAGGGATTCGGAGATGTTCAAGAAATCTCTTTGCAGGATTTCGATGGGGAGACAAGTGCAGACATCCGTCGCTTCCTCGCGCACGAACTCCAGCGAGTTATTCAGTCTCGTAAACTCAGTCTAGGGAGACATACCGCAATGGCCGTCTCCTCGTCAAATGGATCACCTCGCTGACAAGGTCGGGAACTCGTTTCTTTGCGCATCCATAGCGACGAAATATATTACCCACCCAAAAAAACACCCTGCTTCGAGGTTGGACGCATTCTTGTCATCCCCCGATGCTACGGCAGACGCCTACGCCGACCTGGATCACATGTATCAGGAGATCATCAGGGATAGTAGATCCTTGATAAGATATCTAATCGATATCATCAATCTGGCGCAGCCGCTACCGCACTCTCAACTCTTACAGTTTTTTCCTTTGGATCATAGCGAGAATCTCAACCTCACTTTAGAAGAATTTTCTTCAATTCTCGTTGTGTCACCCGACAAACCCATGACTCTCATTCAGCCTTATCATTCATCATTGATTGAGTTTTTTACGGACCCGGTGCGCTGTCACCCGCATCACATCGAGCCTGCAGAGATTCATAAGGGTCTCGCACTCCGGTGTTTAACGATTCTACATACACTCAAGACAAATTTATGCGATCTCTCAGACCACACGACCATGGCCGTCGAAGACAGTCATTTCTGGCATAAACGAGATGCCATGCTTCCCGAAAGCAAGCAATATGCTTGTCGTAACTGGGCGCACCATCTGTCCTATGCACAGTACGATTCCGTCCTTATCTCCACATAAGATAAATTTCTCCGTGTCCACATCCTGCAATGGATCGAAGCTTTATGTCTACTAGGAGAGCTCAGCGATGGCCCAATAATGTTACACAAAGCCCGTGCCGCGTTTAACGTGAGTTTTGTATCTGTTATAACATGTGCATCTCTCAATGAAATGCTAGGGATGGGCCACCAACATGCGTTATCATGATTTTGCGCTGATTAACAGGTCGCTTGCGACCGCGGAACAATTGATCATTCTTTATTTCGATCCCATCAGCCTGTTCCCGCTCCAAGTTTACTACATCGTAGCAGCACTGGCAGATTTATCTGGACAACGTCTAGATTCAAATTCTAACGTACTTGTCCGCAGGTGTGGTCCAGCTCCTGACAGTATATATCAATTTCCCATGTCCGAACTGCAGTCTTCCTTGGTGAATCCAGGACCATCTCAAGAACGGCGTACCGAAGAGGCGCATTCGGGGATTTCAGGCGTGTTGGCAGATGTAAGCCCTTTAGTTTGGTCGAGCCTCGGTTTCAAGGTGTCTGAATAGCTTTTAGTGTTGTCGCTGGTTATCAAATTCTGATTTTGGTGCCTTTCGTATTTCAGGTATGCCCGCCCGAAGTGCAATACCTAGACGACGGTTGTTCACGCATTCGTTCAAGATCTAACTTTGGATCTAAGTCTTTCCATTTCAGACATCGTTTCTTTTCAAGAGAAAAATCACTTGCTAGACGGCCCCACTGAATCAAACATTGGTTCAGTAAAACCACGGAGACTTTGGGTTTGCCTCGAGATAATATCGGAAACTTGCCAACAATCCTCTCCTATTCAGCAGATCACGCATAATGATCATTCGCGAGTGGAATTGGGCAGTATGACGATGTACGTTACGAAGATTTCATGAGATTCATGGTTAAGCTTTGTATTTCAGCCTTGCCGACTCAGATCACCGCTGTCAACTTCGGGTTTTGCTTTCAACTTCGAAGAAGAAGCCCTCGAAGCCTGGCATGATTTTGGGAGAGTGGTTGTTCAGCTTTGGAACCCTGATGGAGCACTCTGGTTCCGACAACAGTGAGTAATATCCATGTGGCCACAATCTCTGATAATGATGGTGGGGTGCACAGGGCTCCGACTTTGTATGTACCATCAAAGGCTCGCAAGTCCTTGCGGAGGCAGAACAGCTGTTGGAAATCTGTCCTTTACAATAAGTTCTGCGCCAGCTTTCAGCACCAGTGAGCAGGGGCAGATCTTAAGACAGTTCCCTGAGCCGCATCCGTCAAATCAATCGCCCGAGATGTTCACTGCTCCTCAGGACCTCTCTTGGTCCAAAAAAGGTGGCAGCGATTCCGGTAAAGGATCGCGAGGCGGCTCGCAAAGAGACTCACCCTCTGTCTTGGATCTTAATCCTGGTAATGGATCGCGAGGCGGCTCGCAAAGAGACCTGCCATCTGTCTTGGATTTCTATCTTGCTTTCAAGGAGCCAGACGAATATGAGAGGCCTGAATCGCCTATTCGTCAGACTCGGACGACCGCTGTCTTCCGTGGCCTCAAGAGAAAACTACGTATGTACATGCTTAGAGCCCGGCACCCCGCCATATATGCGCGTTACATTAACTCGCCGGGTCAGCAAGAGCACTCAAATGTTTCCTTCGCCGTCTCTACTGTGATCATTGTGACCGACTCAGATGTGGATGGAAGTTGCTTGCACTGATATTTGTCGTGTCTGACGCGTGATAGCACTAGTATACGAAAACTCTGCAGAAATCCTCTTCCGTTCATTCATGATGATTATACTCTCCGAAATCGGCGACAAAACCTTCTTTATCTCCGCCATCCTCTCCATGCGACATGCCCGCCTCGTTGTCTTCCTAGGCGCCTTCACATCCCTTTTGCTCATGAGCATGCTCTCAGCGTCCTTGGGTCATATCCTACCTACGCTTTTACCCAAGAAATGGACTCAGGTCATGGCTGGCGTTTTATTTTTGGTGTTTGGGAGTAAGATGGTGATGGAAGCGAAGGAGATGGAAGGGAGTGGCGAGGCCGAAGAGGAGATGAAGGAAGCGGAGGAAGAAATTGAAGGGGATGAATTTGAGGGTGGGATTCCGCTTGAACGACTTGAGGAAGTCGCCTTCGTCGCCGAACACGAGTTGGGGTTCGAGCATTACAGAAGGCGTGAGGAATTTTTGCAGTCTTGTGCTCGGACCCGTTTTCGTGCAGGCCTTCGTGCTTACTTTCTTGCAAAGAAATCATATGATGTATAGGTATTACGATATGCTGCTGCATTCGAATGAAGTCAAGCTACCCAAGCCATGGAAGTGCGTGTAATGCCATAAAATTTACAGATCAGTGCATGCCCGAGTCCTTGATTACCAACTTGAAACCCCACTTCGCCCGTTCGCAACTACGCCTTCTCTCTTCCTCGCCTCCCTCTCAACACATCCATCAACGCCTTCGCCGCTGAGCTCTCCCCACTACCCTTCACAGCCTTATCCCCCCGAGAAGGCGGACGCACGCTTTGGTCATCCCGAGAAGACAGCAAAGAAGAACGCGTACTCCCCTCCCTCTCACTCCCACTGTCTCTGTCCCCATTCCTACCCCTCCGCCTACCACTCACCCGCGCACCCAGAACAAGCGAAAACCGCCTACCCACACCTCCCCAGCCACTATGCGAATCCCCAACGGGTGCAGAGCGCGCCACGACAGGTACGGTCTGCACCGCTACTGCAGGTAACGAGAATCGTTTCTTCTTCCTGGCTGTATCTTCTCTCTTGTCGTGCGCGTATCTTGGTGTGGGCTCAAGTTCGCGGGGTGGTCTTGGCTGCGGCTCGTCTTGAATCTCCTCTTCTTGGAGCACATCGTGTGTCTCTCCTTCGCCATAGTGCACATGCCCTCCCTCTCGCCCATCCCGCCGCGTCTCCACATAATACCCCCGATCATCCATCCTCGACGCCCGCTCCTCAGCCACAGCCCCCAAAGAAGTCGCCACAGAACTAGCCACGCTCCCAACCCTCGCATGAACCTCGAAATCATCCAATATATCGTGGTAGCTCCGCGGGCGCGGGCGGGTGGAGGGGCGGATGCGAATTGGGCGGGTTATTGGTGCACGGAGGGTTGGTCCGTCTGATTGATTTTCGTCTAAGGTGGTAGGGGTGGGGGTGGTGGAAGAGTCTCGTGTGGATGGGTTGCGTACGCGTACAGTTGGTGCGTCTGTGACTTCATCTTCGTCGACGTCGTCTTCGGGTGCGGTGAACCGGGAGGAAGAAGGAGACAAGGAGGGAGAAGGAACATCAGCTGACGAGAGCTGCCGGAAATGACGTGCAGGGCTGGGTGTCAAACCGCGCTTGCTTGGACTCGTGCTGAGTTCGCTTTTGGACAGTCCTGGGCTTGCACTCGTCCCAGCATAGGACAGACTCGAACTCATCGCAACGTTTCCGTCAACCCCTCGCTTACTTGCACTAGAACTTAATCTCGTCCTCGACGGACTCGCGCCCATCGCAATTCGACCCCTACTAGGGCTCAGTGTCATTGCCATCAGCGCATCTGCACCACTGCTCCCTTCAGTGAGGATAGGAGTGGAGAGCCAGGCTGGGATGCCGAGAAGGGTTGGGGATGGGCCGGTGTGGATTGAAGATGGGTTTGCGGAAAGTGTTGATGAGGTCCCAGTACTGCCGTTGATGGAATGAACGAGGGGAAAGGCAGCTTCATAGCACTCGTTACATGCACGTGCGGGTTTTGCTTTGGCCTTTTTGCCAGTCGAGGATTGGGAGGACGGATCGGTGACGTAGAATGTCTATTTTGAGCGCGTTAGTGTACGTTGGGAGAATACGAAAAGGGTCAATCTTTGGTACCGAGAGAGGCAAACGAAACGACAAAGAAGGGCAAAACTGAAATGAAATGTATGACTGACCCGTCCAGAACACTCAGCACACACAACCCTCCCACAAAGCCTGCAATGATGCCGTCTTCTCCACATCCCTTCTCCACTCCCAGCTCTCCCCTCTCCTCCACCGTTCCTGCATTCCTGGGCACTTCCCTCACCGCCGTCACCCAATCCACCAGAAGACGAAGACCCACCGACCACCTCCTCACCTGAACCCCTCTCCTCCTGATTCGCACTCTTTCCCCACTCAAACGAGGGGAACGATGGCAAGGAGAAAGATACTGAGATCGATAGAGGCACTGTAAACTTCACAAATCCAAAAGGGCGGGAACACCGCATACATGCATCTGTCTTTGCGTCTGGAACCCAGACAGGGGGTAAAAAGGGTAAGGGCGCACGTTGGGGCCGGGGAGACGTAGGTAGCCCTTCCACGCGGCTTGGACTGGTTGTGGCTGGTACTGGCTGAAACTCTGAGACCTGGAGCTTCCTCTGTTTTGTATTTGGAGTCTGGTTCTCGACCTGGTTCCCCGCATGTGGGGTAGAGACAGCCGCCTCCCCATGTCCCAACTGAGACACATGTTCATCCCCCTCCCCCGGCTCGTATGCCTCTGCCCACAACACCCCGCGCATCCTAACACCCCGGAGCGCAACAGACGGGTCGCGCGCCAGAAGTGCAGATCGAGCCTGGCGCAAGAGGTGAAGGAAAGTATGTAGGGTATCGTTCGATGAAGGGGCTGATGTAGTGGTACGATCGCTTCTGGTAGCCAATGCAGGTTCTGAAGCAGAGGAAGAGAGACGTTTTGGGGACCGTGACGAGGACGGAACTGCATGCACCGCGAACGAGCCTCCGGGGCTCAACACCTCCAAGCGGGGCGGGTGATGGGACGGATCGAGTACAGCCTCGATGTCGACGAGAGAGAGGTGGTTCTTGTACGTATATGTGTGCCGCTCGTCGCTAGCATCTGCGCTGAGACTGTACCAGTGGGAATCACGTATAGCGGATGGGTCAAAGTCTAGCCATACCAAGACGTCATCGAATAGTAGAAATTCACATATACGATCTCCACTGCCTCTTCGCATACCTGGGGCTACACCGCCAGAGTTTATCATGAAAGGGGCGCGGAAGACCAAGGTGCGGCCTGGCTGGACAAAAGTGTAAGGTAGGCGGGAGGCCGAGGGTGGCGCGTTGCAACGCCAGGAGGGCGAGTGTATGCGCGTGTGCGTGAAGAGACGCATTGAGAGAGGATGTCACTGGTTGTAATTTGATTTAGAGGAGGGGAAAGGGACAAATGAGCAAACCCACCTTTCTCGACAAGGGCAAGGACCTTCCCGAGTTTATCCCACTCTCCCTCCCCTTCCTTTTCTCTCCTTTCTACGCTCATCATTTCCCTGAGTAATAATACATACCTTGGGCATCTTTGTACGATGCTCAGGAGCCAATCTGCGAGTTTCAGCTTCCCGCAGCGCGGATCGCGCTCTTGGGCTCGTAGGAATAGGGCAAAGGGTGCTGGGGGACGCGCGAGGAAGGATATAGAACTTGGGAATGTGGTTATGAAGGGGGTGTAGAGAGATAGGTAAGGGAGGTGCGAGAGAAGGAGGGGTGAAATTGGTGCTGGGTTCGGATTTGGAGGCGAATGTGGGGTGTCGAGGTGGGGTGTCGAGGGATGGAGGAGTGCGGTCAACGCACTGAAGAACGCATGATGGAAGTTCCAAATGTCAATAAAATTTGAGAAAATGGTAGTCAATTCTGTGCGCGTAAGGAGCGGACGAGGACTATCCAGCGTCGCTATGATCGGTATCAAAAAGTGCTGCACATAAAAATCAGCTCTGATTCACTTCGATTCAGCGCCATCAACACTCACATCATGCACCAGATCCAGTCCCTGCACATAACTTCTTTCTGTATCCCAAAACTCTCTTATTACTTTCGCGCGCTTTGCCTCTTGTGCTGCATCTGCTGGTGCAGGTGTCCTGGAATGTTTACGATTGAGCGAACGACGTTTAGGACGCCTGACGACTGGCTCCTCGGGCAGTGAATCAAATGAGGCGAAACTGGCGACAGACTGGCGGTGTTGAGCGGATACCAAGCTCGAGCTAGGTACGCTTGGCAGTGAGATTCGCCGGAAAGGAAGATGGGTGATTGGTGCTGCCAGTGGAAAATAAGCAGAATCAATGCTCGGGAATGTCACTTTTGGTGGGCTTGTAGTCATGGCCGTTGCATTGGAGGAGGAGCTGGAAGCCAACTGGCTGGAATAGCCTGGGACATCCCTTGGGACACCCCACTGCCCAAGTACTGGACCGTCTGCTATGAAATCACTGAAACCTAAACTTGGTTTGTTCCCGCGGCTTCAAATATTTCGGAACCGCAAAGTACGCAATCGCACCCTCTGTCAAACGTCGCGGCTGACTACAAATTGCGTATGCCCAACGGGAGTTAGAACTGCGTAGATCTCTTGCCATGCATTTTGCAAAGACAGCGCGCACTTGGGTAGAGATTTTGGAGTCGACTCACACTATGGACAGGCCCACTAGGTACCGGTCAAGGTTTAACGTTCAAACTGGGTCAACTGCCTTACTGAACCATTCAGGAAGGCGAATAAAATGGTACATTCACTGCATTATGTACATCATATACAGCATGGCCATTAGTTTCCAATAAAATGGAATCAATAAATAACCAAGGAAATAATAAAATAATAAATAAATAATGAAATCACTGAGGTTGTGTTGCATGCGTTTCTTGATGTCTTTGTTCTCGACTGCACATTTCTGAGAATTTGAAGTACCAAGTTCGCAGTACGCGACGAATGCACCGAGGCGCATGAGACGTTCTTCTTTGGCGTCACGATTAGCATCTCTGTTCTTATTGCTGGAGTGGATCCCTCACCGTCTCTTGCAGGTTCAGCACCTCCGATAATTTTGCCGCCAACACCAAGCATGGCCTCTAGCATCTTGCGAATGATTTTCTTGACTGCTGGTTCAACACATAAAATCAGCTCAGCAGCATCACTGTCATCTGGCGCCTCACCAAATGAACACTTGAGGGCCAAGCTACTAGTATCGGGTATCTGTTTGTCAGATACACCAAAATCGAGAGCTTCAGCAGTCGATCCTTTGAGAGGAAGTAGTTCCAAGGCAGAATCAAGCTGTGATAACCGACCCCGAGCGGATGCTGTCTGTGCTTCTTTAAGCCATTGCTGAACATTCTTCCAACAAACTCCCTTAGGTCGGTAGTTGGGACGAAATAGAACCGACTCGTGGATCTTTTGACCGGGCATGATGATACGACCTTTTCCAAAGTGCGGTCTATACATGCTCAATGTATAAGCCAAATCGAGGAACATTTCCACTTACTGTCTTTTATGTGTGTTGGAGTTGTAGCAAAGATATCTAATAGGCAACATCTCAAGCAGCCACCACGCGAGGGTTAAAGAATCGGTAATCTCGTATTCCTGAAATTCTTCATACCCATATCTGTTGCGGGGATGGAGCAGAAGCCCCGCCTTGCGAACTTCATCACGCATCCATAGTAGAGGCATATTTCGGAGGTCATGGGGATGGCTTGTTTTATTCCAACTTCCGCCACCGCTAAAACAAGTTATCAAAAGAATGCCCTCCGGTGCAAGGGACACATACACATCCGAATGACTACTAGCAAACCAAACCTCCTTAATAGGATCTTCTTCCGTGGGATGTGGCGCCGACTCTTGGTATTTGAACCAGTTCGATTCATCGCTCATGCTACCATAGACATACTCAGGTTGAAATTTCACCCGGCGCTCATCTAGTGCAAGCGCCTGGCGGAAGTAGCAAATGTGATCGCATGTATCGGTGGACGGCAAAATGTTTGTCCTGTTAACGCCAACAGACGAAACAGTGTCCCTAGACAGTTCATTAGGAATGCTGGTATGGTTGCGTTCAGGTACAATCCTTACCATACGCCGACGAAATGTATTACTACGTTTCTGGAGTTTGCCCTTTTGAACTCCTTCGCACGTTGAATATCCTTGGCCTTCCCGCTATTAATGGTGGAGTAATACTGGAAGGCACTGGGAACATCAGCCGATTAGTCAAGAACAATGATCAAATGTACTCACCGGGGGATCCGATCTTTGTTTTCGGGCGTGATGAGCCCCACCTACCAAAAGAATAATCAACAACAAGGATCATAGATCAAAGTCGATAGATACTTCGTGGATCATTCCTGCCAAAGCACGAACTTGATATGCACCCCTTGAAAATCCTGACCTCACCTTTAGTATAACTGACTCCATGCGACATCCGGCACTTACCAAACAGGAAGATCTTATCACCATCATGGTACCTGTCTGAGAGCCATCCATAGGCGTCCACTATATTTTGCTTGATATCACTTCAATACCGTTACCGCGAGCCGTGAAGGGTCAAACATACGGTACTTACTGAGCAACGGCCAGGTCCAAGATCCTCGAGACCCGCTTCACCAATTTTGTATGCACAAAACCTTTAAACCTGGCTTGCGTTCCTACGCCGCTAGTGTAGTACGCTAGCTGTGTTTGGTCGTCCTCGACTATATTGTTGTATAGTTCGAAGACATGAGTGTTCTGGGTACGGATATCGTGAGGTCACCCATCAACGCAGAAGGCATGCGCGACATACATCCTCGATTGTGTTTGATGTTCCATCTGCAAACTTGAATAACCGTCACATGAAACAGCAAACTAAACCGCGTACCAATGCAGATGACCAGGTTTCTCCCTGGTTCTTTGTTCGGGGGACATTTACATGATCTCTGTAGTTGAATGTCAATAACTGTGCTGCTGAGTTCTGGCAGTACCTCGTATTGTACCTTAGATAAACTAGCAAGGTCGGGTAAAGAGGAATGTGATGGGCAGCTCCCCGACATTGCTGTGCACTGGAGCGGCCGAGATATTTCTCTTGCCAATCAGCAAGGTACCTAAAAAGTAGTAAGCAAGAAGGGGGAAGGGTGGAAGCATTTGGGCATTTCCGCGTAAGCCACATGTCCTCAGGGCTGCTCAATTCTAAAATGTCGTTGTTAATGTCAACTGAGCGTACATGAACATGATTGCCGAAGCTGAGTCAGTCATGTTGAACCTTGTTGGACCCTGTTGAACTGAACGCTGATTCAATTACTTATCGTCAATCAACGTCATCAACAACTGCTATCACCCTCACGCAGACAAATGCCTCGCGTGCGACCACGAAAGAGATATCTAAAAGAGCTTCTGACCTTACACTCTGTACAGGCTAGTATGCTAGTATGCTTGCTGTATCCCAGCGCGAGCAAGGCCATTTTGAGCAGCCCTTGAATAGGCAAGATCACAATGAAGATGAAGATAATCATACCTCGCGTTTTTTCACCTGCACGAGTGCAGGCCTTCTCCATTATATTATCAACTCAATCAGTGGCAAAAGTTCACCGAGTTCTTCGAAATTTCGATGTGCTGGCCACCTGTGTACGAACCGCATGTCGCGCTCTGCATAGTACATGAGGATACCGCACCTGTGAAATAGATAGCCTGCTGAAGAAGATCCGCACCAGATCTATGAAAATTGGTGTACAGCAGGTCGCCATTTCAATTTTGCACACCGTTTTGCAAACTTTATCATCGACAGCCAAGCAGCCAGTGAGGTAAGGCAATGTGTGCATTGCGACATCCTCAGCGTCAGAAGCAGAGTTGGGTGCTTTATTCTATTCCCGTGAACACATGCCACAAATCACAAGAATGGGATGCATCGGGCAGAAGTGACAAAGCTGCCGAGCAACCAAAAATCTGGGACGGCATCGATGAAGTGTTAAGTTCAAAATAGGGGAAGACAGGGTTCGCAGCATTCAATTATTCGAATAACTGATCTGCGCCGACTGTTTAAGGAAATCCTTCGTGCTGCGCAAGGCAGTACGGGCTAGGCTCTTATCGCATTCACAATATGATGGTATGAGAATATTCAGAAGTCGCGGGGATTACAGATGTACGTTCATGCGGCGTATTGGTTAGCCTAACTAATACGCCGCATGAACGTAGCATGTGGTGCTTGGCACTCATGTCGTGTTCGGTCCAGATTCTACTGTCCGGATGACGAACGAATGACCAGTCTGAGGACGAGATTGCTCTCTGATGAGATTGCGTACGGATAAGGAGATTGAAGAGGTGCGGGATGATTGTGAGCAGAATGTATATGCGGCGGTATCAAGGGATCGATTATCACTACGGGGGGACTTTACAATCGCGAGTCCAACTATCAGCGTAGTCACGGTCGCATACGGGTTGTAAGCAGTCGAAGCGTCGCCACGTTGTCCAGCGACGGTGACTAGTTCAACACTAGCGTCACTGAAATACAGAATCTGATATGCTGGTGTACGTTATGCTGAAGTTTCACAGAAAGGGATCAGATCGCGGTAGTCCAGTGAAAAAGATTGGAAGGTATGATATGACTCACGAATTAAGGGTTGGGATGCAACTTGGTTGCGACTCCACAAATCTCCTTCTCAAAATTATGGGCGGTACTTCATCGACGTCACCGAAATTCCCGAAATTTGATGTGAAGTGAGAGTGTGCCTTTCGCGAATCACATCTCATCTCGTACACCTTGTTTAGACAAATTGCCACAGGACAAATGCTAGTATGTATAATTTCTCTCCCTCGAACAACGCTAGCCGTTCATCAAGCCTGGTAAATCAGACTAGGCCTCTGAGAGGGGTACTGTCAGGTTTGGATGTGGGGGCGTGTATAGGGCGTCGAGGGATGGAGTAGCGTGCTGAGCGCACTGAAAAATGCATGATAGAAGTTCCAAATGTCAAGAAAATTTAAAAAGATGGTAGTCAATTTTGCGCGCGTAAGGAGCGGACGAGGACTATCCCGGGAGTTCGGGACGCTATGATTTGTATCAAAAACGTGTTGCACATAAAACTTCACTTCGAATTAGCGCCATCAATACTCACATCATCACCGAGATCTAGTCCCTGCATATAACTTCTCTCTGTATTCCAAACCTCTCTTATGACTTTGGCACGTTTTACCTCTCGTACTGTATCTGCCGGTGCAGGTGTCCTGGAATGTTTACGATTGAGCGAACGACGTTTAGGACGCCTGACGACTGGCTCCTCGGGTAGTGAGTCAACTGGCGGTGTTGGGCGGATATCAGGCTCGAGCCGGGTGCGCTTGATAGTGAGATTCGCCGGAAAGGAAGATGGTTATTTGGGGAGGAAAAATGAGTGCTTAGAAATGAAACTGTTCGTGGGCTGGAAGTGATGGCCATTGCATTGGAGCCTCGGAGGAGGTGCTGCAGGCCAACTGGCTGGAATAGGACGCTAAACTCGGTTTGTTCCGGCGGCTTTAAATATTTTGCAACCGCAAAGTCCGCGACTACTATAAGTATGTACAAAGTCTACGGAGTCTATAAGGTCTCCATCCGGGACCGCGAGAAGGCTAGTACTTAGAGCTGCCAATCAAACCTTTCAGGTCCCAGGACCCATCGATGGTGTGAATACCCGTTCGACCGGACCTATCACTTGGCAACTCGTCCAGGGAACGGCGGCAGGCACGGTGAACTTTTGGCCCATAAGCGCTACTCTGAACCTTGCACATTCAGGCAGACACGTCAAGAGCAAGCGTCACCCAAGCGTCATCTGTCATGATTCTCCTTCAAATTTTATTTTAAATGTCTGCAATGCATATACGGGCTCGGACACTCTCGCGTTGCAGGTCTCCTCTCCGAATCTCGCCTGGCAACTTCCATACGTGAGGCTCAATGTTACTACGCACCGAATGAACGGGAAAGGAGAACTGTTACTAATCTGCTGGCATAAGGCTCCAACAACCTACAAAATGTACGATCTGCATGATCTAGCATCAATTCACAAACCCAAACATCGACATGTTCTTTCTCTCCATCCTCTTCTTCTTGATTCCTTTCGTCTCCAGTGTGTCCCACATGTCCCGCATGTCCCGCATGCACATGCGTGCGAAAACCATCGACACCAGTGTGCTTTACGGGCAATACGAATCTGTGACTGCTGGGCAGTACTCCCTGCTCAATGATCTCTGGGGCCAAGCCTAATGCTTCCTCTGGCTCCCAAACCTCTCACCTCACCTCACTGAATGGTAATACTATTGCCTGGAAGACGAGCTGGACTTGGACTGGCGGACCTACTCAAGTCAAGAGCTTCTCCAACGTCCAACTCGATAGCGGTATCAATAAACAACTGGACGCTATTTACAGCATGCCTGTGAGTTCAATGTAAGACTTGAAATTGCAAACGGCCTTGCTAATATTTCTGGCACATAGTCTAGTTGGAACTGGACTCAGTCGAGCACCGGAACGGTCGTAGGAGACGTTGCCTATGACCTGTTCACATCTGACACCCCTGGCGGTTCAAATGTAAACGAAATAATGATCTGGCTTGCCAACTTCAACTGGGGACCCATTTCTGCGCAGTACAACGCTACAGGCTCTGTCCCGATTGTGAAAGACATCTCGATCCAAGGTTACAACTGGTACAGCTTTGCAGTCTGCACTATTGGATGCGCAATATTGAATGACTTTCTTCAGGGATTTGTACTCTGGATCCAACGGAGTCAACCAGGTTTACTCGTTTGTCCTGACTAGCGGTACAATCAAGAAATTCAAGGGTGACCTTTACAAATTCATTTCGGTAAGTCTGTCTCTTCGTGAACGAGTGTGGACAGTGGTTCTTATTTTTTTTTGTCTAGTACCTGATTGACAACGAGGGCGTGAGCTCGTCACAGTATCTCACCACTGCTCAGGCAGGCACAGAAGCTGTGTCTGGAGCGGCAACATTCACGACGTAAGTGTCAACTTGATTGGCACACTGCAAAAGGGCTGAATAGTCTGCAGGTCTGGGTACAGCTTGTTCATCAATTAGGTTATTTGGTGTACGCGTTCTATGGGTTTTAATCATTCCTCTGCGCCTCGACCACCATCCAAAACTGTAATGTTGCGACACAGGTGTCGCGGGTCTAAGAGCTTTTGTTCTTGGACTCGGTGTATCATCGGAGGCATCCTAGCTCGTGTAGAGCACGAGCATTAGTACAGCACTTTGTCTTATCGTCATCGCCACTCTCCTTGATCTTGCCGTTCACTTATACATTCCACTCGTTTCCTACCCGTTTGCTTTGACCACTGCGTTACACGTTTACCACTTCGCTGTCCCACCTCGTACAGGACCCGAGCACTTTGTATTATCGACATCGTCACTCGTGCAGGTCACTTACACATTCCACTCGTTTGATACCCGTTCGTTTTGACCGTATATGAGATGGCATGTAACGTCTCGAATAGTATCGGAATTGAATTCTGACTTAAAAGTATCTGGCCCGAAGTCTATCAGTACAACTCTGCTTCATATCTCCCGCAATCTTCATTCTTCCTCCTCGAAATCGTACATTTCTCAGCTAAGAAAATTCGATACCAAGAAGCCACCTACTCTACAGCTGTCCATTCCTCCAATGCAGTCACGTACCGTGACCATTTCCCATTGCTCCAAGACGAGACCTTGATCCAAGCTTCATCCTGGCTGACGTAACGAAAAGCCAACAAAAGACCTCCTAATGTACAATCTGCCAGAGATAGATTTGATCCCGTAAATAATTCCCCTGCACCGCTTCCAGCCTGTATAAACGATGCAAGGAGGTCGAACGCGCCTTCGATTTTCTTCCAGTGTTCCTCGCGCTCTTTGCCCCTGAGCTCGATATCCTCGAGCTTCTTCCCAAATGCCGCTTCGGTGCGTTGACGGAAGTGGATGCGATCCCGTGGAGTCTTCCTCTCGTACATGTGCATGACCATGACAGGTAGTAAATGCGCTGTGATGGACTGTGCGACGTGGTACTCGAAGACGGCGTGGAGGGCGCGACTAGCGGGAGGACATAGTGCGTGGGAGGGATCGGGGTCTGGGTATCTGCGCTCTAGGTACTCAATTATGGGCGTCGAGTCCGAGAGGAGGGCAGGAGGGGAGGTGGTGTTATCTACCAGTGCGGGGAGGGTATATTTCGGCGTCCCGTCTGGTAATGCGCTTGTAGGTGGTATCCCGAGCGACTTGCACACAGATGCGATGTCAGTCGTCTCGACCCATCTTGTTTCATAGGGGAGTTTCTTGTAATTGAGCGCGAGTCTGTGGGAAGCAAAGTTGGTGAGGCGCTTGTGGGGGTATTGGGTGCTGTCACTGACCTGACTTTCCATGTGTTTGGTGAGAAAGGCACTGGGAGGACAGTTGGGATGTCCAGGAATATGATGTTTGTGTTTATCAGCATCCGTAAGTTCTTGGACGAGCGTTACAGACAAGTTCACTGTGGGTAGCTAGTAGATATTCAATGGGTGAATTCAGACCATATACTCGTGAAATTCACTAGTCTCCCCTAGGTAGACTAATCTGTAGAAGGAAGAGAGTTCGTTCCTTCAATACAGTACTATGTAGTACTGCAAGGTGGGATTTTGAATGAGTTGTGTTCTAATTTTAGCGCTATCAACTTTGATGTGCTTCAGTATCAAGTCTTGCGTTATCTGAGAACTCCCCTCGCAGATCGCCTATCTCTCGAGAAACAGCGGTTTTGAGTGTTGCATGGATATGAAGATGCTCTCGAGCCGAGTGACATTGGTGACATTGATCTGACAGCCAGGTAGTGTCAGCAACACCCTAAGTCTGATGTGAGAGCACGAGTAAGGCTCTGACGAGGAGAAGCAAGGCAGATAATAGATTACAAGACTGCGATGGAAGAACAGACGAGGTCAAAAGCAAGGAACAAAATGCAAACGGGTGCGTCATAATTAGGAATTGGAGGTCCGCTAGTCCCGGTAAAAGGCGGACCGTGCTTTACAGGTAGACGAGGATTGGCGTAGCAAAATAAGCAGCGCCAAAGCCTAAGCGCTCGGAAAAATGGCAAATTTATTGCCACCGAGCTGCGATACACTACCGTCAAGTACTCTCGTTTCTCTTTTCTCGCATGTTCACTTCCACGTGTGGTCTCGTGCATTATCACTTCACCTGTTATCCACAACATTCTATTTCCAGTGCTTAGTGCTCACTCCTCATGATGGTAGCCCCGTTATAGTCATACTCATTTGACTGTGAACAGAGGAACTCTGCCTGCAACCTAGACTGATCCAACACACGTATAGTGTGCGCGTTCAATTGGTAGACCTGAAGATATACTCAACGGATTGGCACACTGATTACGGACGCGAGTCACGTGAATGTCTTACTCGGCGGCTGTTCCAGTTGAAGGCTTGAAGTGTCACTCTTACCCCATGAGGGGGGGTGAGAACAAGTAAGTCCATGCCAATAACCATGTTGACCTTAATGGAACTCAAATTCCACGTCTCTTGTAATGGAGGTCGCCGACCAACCCACGACGGAGAGCGGCCCACGTGGCAAGATACATGCCTATTAGGTCGTCTTTTCTCGGGCTACTCCCTGTTTCGGTCTCGTTCAAACACTGCTAACACAATACTCATGTGTGATACGAAGAAAAGGGTCAAAGAACAAGCAGAAACAGGTATTTAATTTTCACAACCACGGCACAGGATCCGAGTTGAAACTGACTCCGGGGATGTCGCAACCGCAAAGGTCGCGAGTCTACAAAGTGGTCATCCGGGACCGCGGACTGACATCGATGGTGCCTACATAACCCAGATCCCCGGAGCCGAAGCCGTCCAACTCCACGATGTTTCGTAAATTTTGTCTGAACCTCACTACGCCTTGCCGAATGGCGGGGGAATGTCATCTGCTGGCATATAAGCAGCCTACAGATTATACGACCTGCACCCTCTCGCTTCGATTGACGAAAGCAAAATCATCGACATGTTGTGTCTGTCTGTGCTCCTCTTATTGATGCCTCTTGTCTCCAGCATGTCCCGCATGCCCAACCAAGCGAGGGCCGTCAACACCACATCGATTAGGGGCCGAGAGGGTTCAATCACTGCGGGACAGTACTCACTGCTTAATAATCTCTGGGGCGAGGCCAATGCTACCTCTGGCTCCCAAACCTCCCAGCTCACGTCAACGAGTAATAGTACTATTGCCTGGAAGACGAATTGGACTTGGACTGGTGGTATGCGTAGCGTCAAGAGTTTTGCCAATATACAGCTTAACAGCGGCATCAATCAACGACTGAACGCCATTTCCAGCATGCCTGTGAGTCTGTTGAAACTGCAAAGGGCATGAGGCTAATGTTTCTGGCACTATAGTCTACCTGGCACTGGTCTCAGTCGAGCACAGGAAGGGTCGAAGCAGACGTCGCCTATGACCTGTTTACATCTGACACAGCTGGCGGCTCAAATGTAAACGAAATCATGATCTGGCTTGCAAACTTCAACTGGGGACCACTTTCTGCGCAATACAACGCTACGGGCCACCCTGTCCCAATTTTAGAAGGCATCTCGATACTAGGTGACACCTGGTACGGCTTTGCGTGTGTTATATGTGCAGTATCAATGATTTTTTTCAGGGACTTGTACTCTGGACCCAATGGACCCACCCAGGTTTACTCGTTTGTTCTGGCTAGCGGTACGATCGAGAACTTCAAGGGCGACGTTTACAAATTCCTTTCGGTAAGTCTGTCAGCTGTCGTCTCTTCACAACGTGTGTAGACAGTGATTTTTTTCTAGTACCTAATTGACGACGAGCATATCAGCTCTTCACAGTATCTTACCACTGCTCAGGCAGGCACAGAGGCTGTGTCTGGAACGGCCACATTTACGACGTAAGTGACACTTGATTGACACTCTGCAGAGGGGCTGGATATTGAATGTGTTTTGTCTGCAGGTCTGTGTATAGTTTGACCATCAATTAAGATGATGTGGTGTGCGTTGTATGGTTTTAATCATTCCTCTACGCACCACCGAAAACACGAATATTGCGGCACAGGCGCCGTGTCGCTAATGTAAGAGTCTGTCCTCTTACATTCGGTGTGCCATTGGAGGCATCCTCGTACAGGTCACGTCGCACGAGCATTAGCACAGCACTTTGTCTTATCGTCATTGCCACTCCCTTGACTCTTGCCATTCACTTATACAACCGGTCTGTTCCCGCAGCTTTAGATATAAGCAGTAAGTCAGCTGACCTAGCATTTTAAAGTCCACTACTGCCACTCTCGTTCCTTTTCTTTCTCGCGTGTTCGCTTCCACTTGTGGTCTCTTATTTCAGTGCTATATTACAAATCCATTCACTTTTTATACACAACTTTCTTTTTTCATGTTTCTAGTCCTCAGTCTCGCTTCGTTCTCTTTCCTACCTTACAGAACACCAACCATCACGTCTGACACGAGCGACTTCGTAGTGGCCCCGTTGTAGTCATATACATTTGGCTGCCAAGAGGCTCTCACATCGGGGATTCGAATATTTAAGACTGGTTTGAATGTCGTGCGAAATGTCAAGATAATACTTAATATTTAGGTTGTCGTCTTAGCGGATGTAAAATTTCAAATATTAAAGAGGTCTTTCACGACAAGAGAAATATAAAGTATCAGCGAACATTTTCTTAGAGCCTGGACAGCTGCCGTTTATTTCGCAGTTTATTTCGCAGTTTATTTCATTTACCACAACATGCACAAATAAATGTGACAAGCCACCGTCCAGCGTTACGAACCAAATTGGATACATTGCGCGACCTCACGCCACACGGTGTCAAAACCTTCGTGCTCGCTGTAGGCAACAGCGAGCTCAAGTATTCTACCATTTCAATAAAAAATTTGTACATTCTCATGGACTAAAATCATTCAGCATGTATTTATTACAGTGAACAAAATAGATAGTATCTGATGGCCAATAATGAACAGTTTGGAGTAGCGAAGCACGAAGGCTGTATGTGGACCTTGTTGTTGGTCGCAGTTGATCGTGATGACAGCGCTGCCCAGCGCCGCCGCAAGCCAATCTCATGGACATGTCACGAATGCGTCACTCATTGTCACCGCAAGTCACACATTGCCACGCCACATACAGAAACAAACTGAGAAATAAACTCGAAATAAACGGCAGCTGTCCAGGCTCTTACTGTCTGAATGTCAATGACAATAAGAAATATAAATATATCTTTAATGCTGGCATAAACTTCGAAATGAAACTTCACATTTAAGACTCGAAAAAACTTCAATTTTAGCACGTGACTGAACATCTGCTCATGTATGAAGTTTAGACCGTCGCTTAGACGGGCGTTAAAATTCAAAGTACCCCCTGACAATAAAACGTGAAAATAAATCATCAAGTTTTATCTCCAGATAAAACCGATCGCCCACTCACGGCTGAATCATCGCCCACTTACAATGTCATCGCCCACTTGAGTTTGAGATGCGAAATATATTAGGGGACCAGACGAGCTAGAACTTAGAAAAACGCATTAACACACTCTTATTCAACTGGTACAGACCAACGATAGCATGACGGGGTGGACAGCTTATATATTGTACATGTACACGAATGTAGTAGAGTGAAACCGAAAATCAACTCTGTTTGACAGTAGTCAGACACCGGTGATTTCTCGAGGTGAATGAATGTACTTACAAAATCATTTCAACTTGTATACAGGCTAGTGCTAGTGCCTAGTGCTAATTCTCTGTAAAAGCTGAGCAGGAGATTAGAGACGCACAAGTAACAACCAATTTATTCTTACCACTTGCTTTGGTGGCAAGAAAACTGCAAGATGCCGCGTCGACGTTTTTCATCATTTTGTTGGTGCCCGCATTGAATTTGAGTGAGCCTTTCCACTTCGAGCCAGTCATTGGACCGTTCGCATCATCAGTGAATGTATGTCGCTCGTGTGAAACACCCCGTCGAATGTTGTCCAGGCGTGACTGGAACCAAAATTCGCATCGACTGGACCAGAACCCCACGTTTAGTCCTGAGGCAGCCCAGGCCTGGGGCCTGGGCCACCAGGAGACGATTTCAACATTCCCGTCGTCTAGATTCAAACATAAGCGCATCTGTCGATGTAAACAAGAGAAACTTACTGGTATGCAGATAATACGTCCCGCACATGAAATCTACCTCCTCTTCTGACAGCTCATCATCGAAATAAGTTTGGCCATTAATGTCCAGCATGAGGCCAAACGGTACCACTTCCCGCGAAATGCCATCGAGAACGGAGGGGAGAACATCGAAACCCAAGACTATGTAAAGCCAGCCGCCATATGAGGCCACCATGAAGAAGTGCCGCTCTTGCGCGAGGCTGGTTCATGAACTTGTGACGGTGCTGCTCGTACACGATGTAGTCAGCAAAAACAGGCCTAAAATGGGCGAGTCTGCGATCCTCGGGGGGGAAGACATGTCCGAGCGAGTATGTACAGAGTTCCGTAGGTGGGCGTCGAGCGTCAGGTGGAACTGAGATTGGCTGCAACATCTTTATAGCGATTCCTTTTTCAAGGAGGTTATACGCAATCTTGGTGATATCCTGAGCCCCAGTCACGCCGGAGGCACATCACAGCCGTGATAGCGTCGGGAACCGCCAGTTTCCAGGGCACCAGATTTGATGACAGTGACTCGATGATGTAGAGCTGCTGCTTGGGTTGTTGCACATAGGAAACTCGAATGTGTGCATTCGAGACTGACAGGGACGAGTCAGGTCCTAGATCCCAGAGATTGGGTGGGATGTCTGACAACTGAGATTGAGGGAGCGTGACGAGGTAACCTATAAAACATGTGATGACATGCTTCTGTGCATCTGGAATTGACGTGATATCCGTGGGGTTGTCGCCGATGAGTCTGGTTAAGTGAGTCCACTGTGTCTTGCGAGTCCAATCATCGAATGTAGTCGATCTGCCTTGGGGTGTAGTGGTGGATGCTGCAAGGCGATATCCGAGATGAAAGTGCAAAATGGAGACAAATCGTTCAACACTACGAGTGTACTGCGTTGAGGGTGCAACCTCATAATGACCGAAGTAGGCTTCGATGTCTTTCAAGAAACTGGACAAGGGTGGGGCAGGGGCAGGGGGAGCAGGGGTAGGTTCAGAAGGAGCAGACGCAGGCGGGAAATCATCTTCCTCCCAATCGCCATCGGGAACGCTGGTAAGATCCAATGCATCGCACAAATCCCACTCATTACGGAACGAGTCGTATACCCTGGTAGACTTGCTATACGACATCCAAGTCATTGGTATCTCAGCCTTTGTGAGACGGATGCGTTGACAAAAGCCGCCAAACTCGTCATTAGGTTGCCATTCAAACACCACAACTGTGCTGGATTTGCCAGGAATGCCGTGGTTCATGGCTGCCCGCTCACGGCTCTGACGCGACTGCCGTTGAGCTGGCGTCTCCATCTCCTCTTTCCTCTTGTTCTCCTGACGGCGCCGTGCAAAGAATGCCTTGAAGTCTTCTCCTCGCTTCTGTCTAGAGTGGGGTTGGGAGACCGGGAACAGAGAGTCCGCATGTGCCTCGGGAACATCAGACACGGGCTGTGCCCCACTGTTCTCACCCCATCCAAGGGCGCTATCGTCCCAGTTAAGGACACTCTGAGTGTTGTCCTCTGGTCGACCCCATGCACTATCGTCCGGTTGACCCCACGCACTTTCGTCCAGCTGACCCCAAGTGTCAGGCGTCTCCTTGCGTTGGACTTCCTTGGTCGCACGGGTGATAGCTGCCGGAGACGGGATATAATGACGCAAGGTAAAATCAACGGCGGCAGAAGTATCCCCAGAAACGCGGACCCAAATCGGAAGCGAGAATTTCTCAAACATGGGCAATTGAACTTGCCAAGGACAGTGAATGGAAGAGATCAAGGCTCCCGTACGTGGCACGTTTGTCGTCAGATCTCCAACGAATGAGCGCGACAACTCAAGAACCCATTCAGCGGGTATGGGATGTTGGGGGTTACTCGTTAAGATAGCCGTCCACTGATTGGCACCTTGGTATCGACGCGTCATGATGTACCACGAGCAGGTGGCAGCAATTACTGGAAATCCGTCAGGCAATCACGAACGATGAATAAACTGGTTGACTTACATAGAAATGCATCGTGCGACCTTATTGCAACCTTTTTAGCAAGGTTAGCGTCTGTATGCCACCGTTGGTACCCATAGGAAGTCGGAGGGCGTGGAAGTTTAGTCCCCCATGGAATCAATAATCCAGCACCCAAACGTTCCTGGCACCAGAGCAGTTTCTGCTCTAACTCGACCCATTTTGCCCGAATATCGCGGTGGAGAATGTGCCTTCCCGATGTATCTACCTCTGTAAGGAGGGAAAACCTGGAGTGGTTGAGGCATCCAAAGATTGGCCCATCGAAGCTAGGATTCAAAGGTACCAGGGGAAACCACGGATGAGTTCCGTACACCCAGCGAGTGGTGAGTGGCGTATTACTATCGTCGGGAGAACTATCGTAGTCTTCGCGAGGATCCCAAGGAGGCTCGTGAGGTATGATGTCGGGAAGGGAGTGTGCGGTGAGAGAGGTATAAACCTGCCCATCACGGACGATGACACGGAGATTGTTACTCATGGATGCGAGGAGATGCAAAGAGTATCACAGTCAAGACTACTACCGCAACAGTACAAACCGTTACATTAGGTCAAGATCAGAGACGTTGAGTATATCGCAGTCGTTGAGAATATCGCAGTGCAGTCGTTGAGAATATCGCAGTGCAGTCGTTGAGAATATCGCAGACGCAGAGTATCACAGTCAAGACTACTACCGCAACAGTACAAACCGTTACGTTAGGTCAGAGACGTTAAGAATATCGCAGTCAAGACTACTGCAACAGTACAAACCGTTACGTTAGATGAGGAAGAAGGTAACGAAATGGGAGAAGGTTTGGTGCATCTAATATAGATGTAGTGGAGTTTCAACAAACAATTACCATATCAGTGGCAACAATATGGGGTGTGGTCTGTGGCGGTCTGTGGCCTGTGTGGATTGAGACAAGCGGAGGCAAACAAAACAATGCCACTGTGACTTGGGATGAGTGGAGAAAATTAAAAATTAAAATTAACAACAGAATTTTAACTATGTGGCTTGAGATGTGAAGTAAAGAACTTGAGTTAACCTTGGAGTTGGGATGTTGACGATGGTGATGGAGCCAGAGAACGCTGGGCAGCACGATGAGTGAGAATAGGGCTGCCACGGACATCGAACCAGGAAGCGACGGATGTCGACTTAGAGTTAGGACATTGGCGGTGGGGATGAAAGTAGAGAATACCGGGCACGACCGTACATACAGTCATGCCCTGGAGAAGGTCGTGAAAGGTTGCTGCGATGAGACGATAAAAGAGGAGTTAATGCAGGGCATGACTGTACATACAGTCATGCCCTGGAAGAAGGTGAGGAAGGGTCGTTTTCGACAAGGAGAATGGGAGCTCGACAGTACAAACCAGTCGAACCTAGTAATAGTTATTAATACCAAGTTCCATAAAGATGAGGGACTTAGAACTTTGGCGACGAAAGCGCCCAACAATCACAAACACCCATATTAGGAAATTGTTACATAACATTGACATTGACTGCTTGACAGTTTGAACTTTGTACTCTGCTCATCGTCCCCATCCTCGGAGCACGACAGTATGTACTGTCGTGCTCATCGAGTTCATCCTTTGTACTTTCGAGCTGCTCATCGTCCCCATCCTCGAAGCACGACAGTATGTACTGTCGTGCTCATCGAGTTCATCCTTTGTACTTTCGAGCTGCTCATCGTCCCCATCCTCGAAGCACGACAGTATGTACTGTCGTGCTCATCGAGTTCATCCTTTGTACTTTCGAGCTGCTCATCGTCCCCATCCTCGAAGCACGACAGTATGTACTGTCATGCTCATCGAGTTCATCGTTCCTATCTTCGGAGCACGACGGTATGTACTGTCGTGTCTCCTATCCCATTAATCAACCAACAAGTCCAGCCGTCAACACACGTCATCCAACTCGCTTTCGCTTATTGCGACCCCTTGGATCACGTTGGCCCTGTCTTCTACGTCAGGTAACCAAGTCATTTGTTAAAATCCAACCCCATTGACCAACCGTTAAACGATCCAGCCGTTAACATCTGTCATCCCCTCCACCGTACATACAGTGGAGGTGGAATTGACTCAGTCCATCTACCAATGCGGTGGAGGGCATAATGCAAAACCTATGTCTATGTTCAACTAGCGTGCTACATGTACTGGACGAGAGATAGGTCCTTCGTCTCTTCATCTCCTTTCGCTGCTCGCGGGTAATCAGTATCGCGCTTGCCCCTATGGTCATCTTTGTTGATCGCTCCATCCGCTTCTTGAGCTAGCTCCATGATCTTTGCCACTAATTCCCGCAGCATCATAATGTCATTTTTGACGTATCCTTCGGTCGGCCCTTCCTTATCGTCCTTCTGGATATCTACATACTCGTCAAATATCATGGCAGCTTGGACATGCTGTGAAAAGTCATCGGCCACATTAATCATTGTTGCCGAAGTCATGTACCCATATACACGGTTCAGTGCGCTATCCTGAAGGTGTGTCAGTTGGATCCCTGCTGACCAACTGGCCCACTTACCAAAAAGCTGTCTCTATAATTTATCAGCAGGAAGATGCTCATAGATAGCAGTGCCAGTAGTCGTGTCAACATAACCAGTATGTGCGACAGGGACCAGTAATCCCCTGAGGGCACCTTGGATACCTTCAGCACTGCGTAGTCATACGCCCATATCTTGATTGTAGTTTTCCTGCGCCCTAGCACAGGCGAAGTGCTGGCAATTGTGCAGCGGCCATTGAGATCGCGTGCCTAAACCAGGTCAGTGACATTTTTTTCCGACTAGTCTTAATACTTATGGATATTGTTTGCACAAGGCCAGTGTCCGTGTGGTGGAGGGTTTGAAGTGTCTCCCCTGTCTTCCGATCAAATATATATACTAGCCCATGGTCACTTCCTCCCACAACTACCTTGCCGTCTTCCCCGAATGCCACTTGCTTCGGGACCAATACGCTTGGCAAACCAGTTGCAAACGTTCGAACAGGCTCACCATCACCTTCAAGGCGATATAATGTAAACCCGTCTGTTGCATTATCAACAACGAACACGCCCCGCTTGGAGTACACCGCAGCATGACCACTATATAATGTCAGTAACGCGCCCAGGTCGAGAGCGGTAGTTTCTCACATCACTGATTTGCAGCTAATTTCTTGCACTATGTCGCCATCTTCATCCTTCAGTTTCATGCTGTTCGGCTCTCAGCATCAGGCAATGAAAGTATGCAGTGGAAGGACTGACAAGTTGCCATCATAGAGCCCAAACACATAGATGCTCCGGTTATCTGTGAACGCTACCGACTTGGGCACCGTATTTTCAAGTCACACTGCGAAGACGGGCTGGAGCTGCGAGCTTGTATTGAGCGTCAGAACCTGAACCATTTTGTCTCTAGTTCCGACTACAATTCACAGGTTGCCATCAGAGGAAGTTGAACACCATGACAAGCATGTGATCTCAAAACCCGATCCCAGTCTCCTGGCACATATTTCCTGGAATTTTTCCTGTTGGCGTCAATGGACGGTCGAACAGCAAACCTAGGCGCTTACATCTGTGAGACTGCGTCGCAAACATACAATATAACCCAGGCCTGTTCCATAGCAGAGGGTTTCTGCCGTGGTTTTCATAGTCATGGCCCAAATTGCGCAACTGACTGTTCCCCTTGATTCATGATGATTGGACGAAGATGTGAGTACTTTCTGCGATGTGATATCCCAGAGTTTGATTCCCTCGGTTCCTGTTTGTTTGTTTGTTAGCCCTGTCTATGACCGAGTTTCTTCTTTCTTACCACCGCATGCAAGCAGGTGTCCATCATTAGAAATCGCAAGTGCATGGATAGAGCCATTATAGGCAGTTAAACGGGCGAGCAGCTTGTAACGCAGTGGCTGTGCTGACTTGTTGAACAATGCAAGGAAAGACATTATGATATAATCCGCTGTAGTCGCCCGCTCACAACGTATTTATCTGTACTTCTCATTTGTTTTCAAATACTTTTGTATCGTTACCGTATTTGTTTGATTCCATGGTAACTTCTAGTCATCGTCGATGCCATTTGTGTGCTATTCTTCTTATTCTTCTCTATGGCCCTATTATTCTTATTATTATTCTTTACAAGCGCTATTCTTGGTTACCATTTTCGAAGCCCCTTATTGTTTTCGCTCAATATGGTAATCTGTTGAATACTTTACTCTCATGAACCGTCCTTAAGTTCCAGGTAGCTACTCGGTTCTTTCTCTATCATGCGCAGTACTACCATTGTTCCACCTTTCTATGACTCGGAGCCTGGTGCTCCACCACCTCTTCCCCCAATGCTCACGGACCAGCTAGAGCTGTTTGGCAACGCCAATCGTCGCCCGACTACACTTATCGCCAATGAAATCCTAGTTCCTCAAGCTAGTATCATTTCCACTGCAAGGGCTTCGTCGTCTACACCTGCCCCTGAATTCAAGCTTGCGAAGCAGATGCGCAAGCATTCTGATCACTCTACCTCTCCATACACCAAGAAAGTCACTTCCACGCACTCCCATTCTCGAATGCCTTCACCCTCAGATTCCTCAGGCGCTTCGGATTCTTTCTCAGACAGTGACTCCTCAACTTCGAGCACGAGTTCATCAGAAGACTCAAAGATTCCTAAACCTGCCAGTGAACCTGGGCGTCCGGGGCGTGGGGGTTACACACTTCGTGAAGCTTTAGATTGGAATCCAAAGGCATACACAAAATTCAAGGTTTGCAAATTGTCATTGTACCCTTAGTATTGCAAATTAACTCGCGAATTCCTAAGAGGTCTATGCATAGTCTCATCGACAACCACCTTGACACGACAAAATGCGCTTCTGCCCAAAGTCCTGCGCTATTGGAAGTCGTGCGTGGCAAGGTGAACAGTTTCTCTGAGTCTCGATATTGTCAATGAACTAATCATCTCTGACAGGCACTCGACAACTTCCCAGACCTTGACAATTATAACAACTTGTGGCCAGTCAACGATTTGATCATGACACGCCTGAAATACACGTCTGGACGTGCGAGACGAAAGGTGGGAGAAATGGCTGTAGGCAAGAGCAAGAGCAAGGCCAGGAAGTGATACCCCGACTGCATTAGATGTCTCTGTCATTATTACGTGCTGTATGCATTCTATATCAAGCTGGCGTTCAAAGATTAGTAGCCACGAGTTTTACGCGCATCAGGGAGAGCGAAACTACATCATGCAAGTCGTCTGCGAAGCTACCCAGAACCCGTCAGTATCAGTTCAAGCCGGTGCTTTCGAATGTTTAGTCAAGACGCGCATCAGGGAGAGCGAAACTACATCATGCAAGTCATCTGCGAAGCTACCCAGAACCCGTCAGTATCAGTTCAAGCCGGTGCTTTCAAATGTTTAGTCAAGATCATTGTGGCACTGTACTACGACAATATGGCTTTCTATATGGAACGGATCTTGTTTGGCATATATCTGCAGTCCAGCTGAGAAACTCGGTATGTAACAATGCTTTAAATTATACTACTACTCCACACCTTGCAGCTAACCGACAATTGGTACGAGTACTCAGGGGTTTCACAAGAGTAAGATCGCATGGGAGCCTAGCTCTTGGACGACTACTTATGCTTTGCGCAAAGCTGAAACGATAGTTATGGTAGGCTCAATAGATCATCGAGTTTACTCACTGGTGAATTATAAAGTCAGCAAGCGCATTATCTCTGCCTCGCATGTTCACAACTGAGGGATAGTTGACTCCAACCCTCATAACCACTGCATCGCCTCGGAACTTATGATCACCCAGTACTAAGAAGCACGTTGGCTCGGAGACGAAGATGTCGCTTGAAGAAGATGCAGAATCGATGAATGTGTCTCCCTTCGCACACATTCACGAAACAGTTGTGAACATAAGGCTGCACGGTAGCCTCCTCGAGAAGACTTTCAGGAACAGGAAAACGCTGAGCAGTGCGTGAGCGGCCAGAGCAACGCGTCAACATGGTGACCTGACGGGGTCTGGTCCACGATGCTGAATATAGCCTGCACCGCAGGTGAAGCTCCGGGGTCTGATTTGAAGGTAAATAAAGGGTGTGAGGTAGTAAGCGATAACTTACAGCAGACATTGGAAGGATATATGTGCGAGTGTTTACCATCTGATTATAGTTTGATCAAGGCAATAATCTAAGAGGTGGGTGATGAAAGCGGGCGATGAAAGCGGGCGATGGAAGCAGGCTATAGCAGCGATCCGTCTTTTAATAACTTCACGTGCTGAGTCAAAAGACAATAACCATAATCGTTTCGGATGTAGTTGATGAAAAAAATAGCGGGGAGCCAAACCGAAGCATGACAATACTGCAATGATAATCCTGCGGCGCTAGTTGTCAAGGGTGATGGTACGAGGTAATTGTAAGAGCGAATAGAGCAAGATAATTGTAAGTGCGAATAGAGCAAAAGATAATTGAAAGCGATGGAGATGGGCCTGGACCTGTTGGAACTGTTGTTCATTCATACAACAAGACGTCTAAAAGAATCAAGACAAAAATACATGCACAAAACTTAAAAAGACCCAGGAATGATGTTTGCAAACTGACGATGAATTATTCCCCCGCTATGAGCGCCAATAACATTGATGTCGACATGCAGCATCCCGAGTTTCAGCAAGAAGACGTACAAATGTCTCATGACGCGGATTTATTTGGTGGCGATGAAGACGATGAAGACGATGATAAGGGTCCTGGCGACTTCATGGATGTTCTCAGTCAGCCTCCCACCAGCGTACCGTGATTCGACATCAGTCAGCCTCCCACCAGTGTACCGCGACTCGACATCAGTCAGCCTCCCACTAGTGTACCGCAATTCGACATCAGTCAGCCTCCCACCAGTGTACCGCGACTCGAGCGACTCGAAAAGAGGGCCAGAGAGGAAGTGGTATGTAGATAGTACGAATCAGCTTCCATGACTCATGATACCCATCCAGATATCTGGGAAGCGTCGCATTCAGGAAGTCGACTATTCGCAGGTACTTCGCCAGACTGTGTATGAACAACAAGAACGTATTAACAACATTATAGAGGAAACTGAAGTGGTACGCACAAGAAGCTCATTGGGGATACACTGCTGATCATACCGGCAGATACACCGAGAAGCTCAAGACCACATTGAGGAGCAACGACGTCTTGCAGAAGAAGAGCATGAGCGCCACATGCGCGATTTCAACGAGCGATGGGAAAAGGCTCTGAGAGAGCGAGAGCGGGAAAAGCAAGTAAGTGCAACAGATGCATTCAGTCAGATGCATGCTTATAAGTTAATAGGAAATTCACACATGGCAAGAGCAGCAGCAAGCACTGCTGAGGAAGAACGTTGCTGAAGCACTAGCACGGCACAAAGCAAAAATAAGTGCAAAAAAAGACCAAGAGGTGAGAAAGAACGACTGACCAAGGAATTACTAATGATGGCAAGTAGTTGGCTGAAGAACTGGCACGACACAACGCAGATTTAGATACAAGAAAAAATCAAGAGGTGGGGAAGAACGACTGAGCACAGGGAATCGCTAATGATGTCAAGCAGCTAGAAGAACGCGAGAGAGCCATTTTTGCCGAAATGGAGTGAAGGCTACAACTAGAAATAGAAAAAATGAGGGTAGAAAAAGAGAACGAGCTCGCTAACATGGAGCAGCGCTTTGCAAGACACGGTAGGCAACAGCATGCGGCCACGGAAATCGGCACAGACCCCACCCAAAGGAACGCTCAACAGCCACCCCACACGCCCCAGAAACCACAGCTCAAGACTCCGTGCCTCGAGACAATTAAAAAGATCAGGAAGGCACGTGGAACAACACGCAAGATGCGTCTGGTATCTGTAGTAGAGGTAAGTACTAAGCGGTCGGAACTCGTTTTAAACTCACGTCATAGCAGGACGCTGACGAGCCTATGGAAACGCATCGAGAACGATCATCGACAATTGAGCAAGAGCCACAGCGATTTCAGCCTGACGACGTCTACCCTATGTCTGCGATGGAAAACGTGATCTCCAAAGGCATAGAGGCGGCACTCAGACGCATCCTCGTCGATAAGGATATTTTGACATCCACGAAGCGTAGTCCTCGAAGGAAAAAGAAGCAGGATGATGAAATTAGGATGGAAAGGGCCGCAGATTTGAGCCACGAAAGAGACTTCCTTCTTGTGAGAGTTGAATTTTTGACGTATATGCTGATGCTAAGCATGAAGTAGGGTGAAATCCGGCGTCTCCTCAAAGATACCTTCAGTATATCTCAAGACGCAGATTTTATTGTGCACCAGCCGGCGGATCGTGAAGATGTGTACTCGTACGAGTACGAAGATGGCCCAGGCCCCAACACCCAGAATCTGGCCTTTGATCTCAAAAACGGATTTAACACCCCCTGGAATGCGAAAATTCTCGATATTCTCCTTGAAGAATTGAAAAAGAGGAGTGTAGAAGAGGAGTGGCCGTTCTGGAGGTCGGATGCCTATTATAAGGCAATACTCGAAGATCGCTACAAGCGGATGCGGATGGTCTGGAGAGCAGCCCAACCAAAGGTTACAGCAAAGGGCTGCTTGGAGACTGCGGAAGAAGTGGAGGAGAGGTTGATTGCAAAAAGAGGTGAAAATCTGAAGTCGGTTCGTCAAACAACTCGTCGGCGAAATGTATGTCCGCAGCATGATCTCAAGGCTCTTCGGATACTAATGCGTCTATAGAAATATCTCCGCAGAGCAAAAGTCCTGGAGCAAGTTATTGAGCTGAAGAAAGATGGCGAGGACGACGACCTACCAGCTTGGCAGTGGCTTCAAAAACTAGTCAAGACGCTGGGAGACGGGGGTATGAGTTCAGAAGAAAGTGATATCGAAAATGACGTCGAATGTGTGCTCCGGGTCAAGAACATGGCATGGCGTCGCGGGATAGAGCGAGAACTGAATATCATCAATAATCAGAGAGTCTTGGATGATGAAATTTTCGCGCCCCAGGGTTCCAAACCAATGAAGAGGATACGCGCATCGGGAAATTCGACGACTGTACGGAACCCGGTCACTGGATTACCCAAGGCCCTATACAACGGCAGATGGTTTGATGGTCTTACTGGAGGTCAGGTAGAAAGGTTGAATGTGTCAGATGAGACGTTCCGATGGATGAAAGATGGTGTAGCATAGTAGCGTGTTGAATAGACGGTGTAAGTGAACCGCAGGGAACGGAAGATAAGTCAATTCCCCCTCCACTGTATGTACGGTGGAGGGGATGACGCGTGTTGACGGCTGGCTGGATCGTTGCGAGAGCGAGTTAGCCATTGCCCACTCCACTGTATGTACGGTGGAGGGGATGACGTGTGTTGACGGCTGGACATGTTGGTTGATTAATGGTTGGATCTGTCAACAAATGGGCTTACCTGACTAACGGGCCAGCGTGATCTAAAGGATCACAGTAAGCGAAGGCGGATGACCTGGAGTTGATGGCTTGATCATTCTGCGAAAAAGGATGGAGTTGGCGAGGTGGTGGGTGGTAATGGAATAGGAGACACGACAGTACATACCGTCGTGCTCCGAAGATAGGAACGATGAACTCGATGAGCACGACAGTACATACTGTTGTGCTTCAAGGATGGGGACGATGAGCAGCTCGAAAGTACAAAGGATGAACTCGATGAGCACGACAGTACATACTGTCGTGCTTCGAGGATGGGGACGATGAGCAGCTCAAAAGTACAAAGGATGAACTCGATGAGCACGACAGTACATACTGTCGTGCTCCGAGGATGGGGACGATGAGCAGAGTACAAAGTTCAAACTGTCAAGCAGTCAATGTCAATGTTATGTAACAATTTCCTAATATGGGTGTTTGTGATTGTTGGGCGCTTTCGTTGCCAAAGTTCTAAGTCCTATGGAACTTAGTAACTATTACTCTAGGAGGTTCGACGGTTTGTACTGTCGAGCCTCCCATTCTCCTTGTCGACAACGACCCTTCCTCACCTTCTTCCAGGGCATGACTGTATGTACGGTTGTGCCCAGTGTTCTCTACTTTCATCGTCACCAGACGTCTCATCGCAGTGACCTTTCACGACCTTCTCCAGGGCATGAACTGTATGTACGGTCCGTGCCCGTTCATCGCCACCGCCAACGTCCTAATTCTAAGTCAACATCCATCGCTTCCTGGTTCGACGTCCATGGCAGCCCTTCCCACCCGGCGTTCTTTGCCAACGATCAGTCCACACCAAGCTCAGGTCGCCGCCAGCTCTCCCTGACAACAGAGTTATATCTTGTTTGGTAGTTCTTGTAATGAACGTCATATTTTCGTACAAGGCTTACTGCTGTCTTGTTATTTCATTACTGGAAATTGCAAGTTGTTTCTTTTATTGTTGTTGTTCGTCTGACTCAAAAGCTTGCCTACACAGTCGTTTCTTGCTCTCCAATTCACTCCCATCAATTCATAGAAACGACGGTACATACTGTCGTTGCTATTCGCCCCGCTCTTCATGCCTGTGTCTCGCTCACTGTTCAAACGGTGCTTCTGTGAGGAATGCATCGAAACCGGTGATCGTGCTGAGGATGGCACCCCTAAGGGGGTACTCAATTGCAGAACGTCTTATGGCTGCACATTTACAACGCACCAAATGTACCCAAGCAGAACGTGCTGCTGCTGGCTCTCCCCGCACGAACGCCATCACGGATTTGTTAGTCTCACAGCTGGACGCACTCGCTCTTATCGACAACAAACCGCCTGTTTCTCACCCCAACCCCACTCCACCATTATCTATTACGGCTCTCGCGGATATCTTGAGCAACTCACTTTGCTAGATCATTTTGTTGCCCATGAACCCAGAGTCGCTATTTCTGGCGACGTTCTCCC